GACGGATTAAATAGAGTTTTGCTTGTATAAAACGGGGATATACTATAAAAACAAAACAGAAGTCCCATTAAAAACGGAAAACTCGAAGTTTGGTAATCGTTAAACTGTTAGTCCTGATACTCAAGATTCAACTGGGATAGAGATTCTGTGCCTGATGTCCATTTTCCATATTAATCCTTACAAGGTGACTGAGATGTTCTTATGCCTCTACACTGCATTTATGCAAACTCAAAGGAGCTCATTAAAAACAGTCAAGTCGCGATCATTATTTCCCAAGCATTGGCTACATAACTCTTCTGTTTATTGTCTTGTCCAAAACCAACCTAACTGCTCTCGAAATATACTATCTATAGAGACATTTGAATACTACGAAACCCTAGCCTCATCGTCCAACAAGTAGACCACTGAAAGGAGAACAATTTACCGAGTCTCTTTCAGAGTAGTCAAGAGTAACCAACACGCTTATTCACTTAGTCCCCACCGTCAGTCGTATTTTATAATCCTAGTTTCTGTTTCCTTAGTATGTTTATACTATCATACCCAGCTGCCTATCGACGGGATTTATTCCAGTCAGTCACTAAGGGAGCCGCCTTATCGCAAGATAAACCACGTTAATTATTGATTGCTAGGCGAAACTAGCATGTAAGCCAGGAGGTAACGTCAATCACACTAAACTAGAAAAAATCAACTGCTTAGTTGATCTGCACATCAAAAGTCCACTTCCAAGCGAAGCTAACTGCTAGGGATAGGCTGGAGTAAAGCCAGGGGTGACCAGACCAGAACTTGGCTCAAATCCTTGAAGTCACTGACAACTGAACTGAGCCATGTTGACAGGTGTAGACTACCTAGTTGGGGTCCGCGAGACGAAAGTCATCGATGGTTAAAGACCTTGAACGACATAGCTCAAAATCGTTTGTAATGGTGCAGGTGCATCCATTCATTGTGTTCTCTCAAATCGTAATCTCCTGAATCCCTTCTCACCTCTATCTTTCTCTTCTCAAGTTTATTTCACTTAATTATACTTGAATAATATCTTCGCTCCCTAATCTTCTCCATTACCGCTAACACCCCTACTAACTCTACTGCTATGGGATTTGAATTGATAATTCGCTCTCTATGCTAATATGGTATGTCAACTTGAACTAATTTTAATACTTACGAAGCTCTACGTTGTTGCTGACTGACACTAGCTCGTGAAAAAGATATTGGATTAGATATTTACAATACGAGGAAACTCAAAATACTGTAGTGCAGTACAGTTTATGCTCCCTCCTTGATCTTGATGAGCATTCTCTATTTTCTATCCAACATTTAAAGTTCAATTTAAACTTATCTAGTGGGAGTAAACCCCGCCTAAACTACATATGTTCATAAACAGTCTTATTTCGTTGTCATCACAGTTTACCGGTACTACGTAAGGCGTAGAAACTTTCATTAGCTATTATGTACTTCCATTTCTGTTAACAATGAATATGATCAATCCGATTCACCAAGAAAGAATGTATGATATTTTTTATAAAACCTACCTCAATGGTCGCGGGAACAGCACAAACAAACCCAATAGATGTCAGCCCACCAACACCCGAAGAAATCAGCTTGATCATGAGATGAATGAAAAGTGACTGACGCGGATGTAATGACACAGATCGGTAAAGCAAAGACAGTATTTCTACAGTTGAAGAACATCTGGAACTCAAAACAACTTCCAACCCACACCAAAGTCAAAATTTTCAATACAAACGTCAAGAGAGTTTCATTGTATGGAGAGGAAACTTGGTGAAAAACAAAAACCACCATCTGAAAGATACGTGTTTATTAACATTTGTCTACGCACGATACTCTAGATCCGTTAGCCGGATACGTAAGATCAATAACAACTAACTGTGTTAAAGAAAAAGTCAGACTCCAGCTGAGGTGGGAATTAGGGAAAATCGCTGGAGATGGATCACCAAACTGAGTCACAAAGGAAAAGGAACAGGCCAAAAGACACCGGCTGGTAGTCGGGGGCGGACGGTAAAAGAATGAACAGCATCTGACAACATTAAGAAAGGAGAGCCTAGGGCGCTTGAGGTTTGAGATTGCTGACCGACGCACTGCTCTGCGGTGAATAACGGGTTTAGATAAGCAGTTGTATTTTGAGCCCTAACATAGACCGGATGTATGTATGACTGCAAATGCTTTTTATTAAGTTTAGGAAACTCTTAATTTTGCTTAACGATTGAGGACCTTGTACGTTTTACCAAGTGTCAACGTTAGATAATAGGTCAGACTCAGTGTGTAAGCAACTTTTGAAACTCGGCTAATAACACCTATTCACTATAGTTTTATCAACTGATTCATCTCTCCTAAAAAAATTTGTTGTTTTATTCAGTTACATTTGAGCAGTTCTACTCTAATGCACTACGTACAGAACATATTTTTACGGAAACCTAAATACTATCATTTTGAAAATACTAAAGGCTTTTCAACAACCCTATACATTGAACAAATAGTACTGCTGTGACTTGTATGATCGCATTATACATGGCTCTGACCCAACATCTCCATGTGCCAATGGTTCGTAATACTCCCTAACTGTTAAAACTAGCATATGTGGCATTCAGACAGACAGATACAACGCAGAACTTCGTACGTAAGTACATCAGTTCAGGTTGCCATACCACATCAGCACAGAGACGCAACCGTCAGTTCAAACCATAGTGGTAGAGATAGTAGAAGTATTAGCAGTAATGGAGAAGATTAGGGAGCGAAGATATGACTCGAGAAGTATAATTCAGTAAAAAAAATTTATAAGACGAAACGTAGAGATTATGAGGAATGCAGAAGCTTAGAATTTCATAGAACACAAAGAGTGGATGCACCTGCGCCATTGCAAACGATTTTGAACCATGTCGTTCAAGGTCTCTAACCATCGATAACTAACGTCTCGCGGACCCCAACCAGGTAGCTTACATCTACCACTTGTGTGTGATTTCATGGATTTGTGCCATGTTTTGGTTTGGCCGCCCCTAGCTTTCTTCCAATCTACTCCTACACTGCCAAACATAGCTCGTCGCGGCAGTCAGTGGTTAGCCGTACGTAACACATGTCCCAACCACCTCAACTGATGAAGTTTCACTACTTCATCTATTGATTTGCCATCCCTACCTAGAACTCGTTTCCTAACGACAGCATTGCTTATACGGTTGTCCCAGGATACACGAGCAATGCTTCGGAGACATCGATGATCGAAGACTAGTAACCTACGGAAGTCCTCTACTCTTAACGGCCAAGTCTCGCATCCGTACAGTAGGACGGAGCGAACTGCTGCACAGTACACTCGTCCTTTAGTCAGCAAACGGATATCTCGCCTGCGCCATAGGTGATGCAATTGACAAAAGCCAATCGAGCCTTCTGTATCCGAGCTGAGATTTCGTCAGTCACCAAGCCATCAGCACTGATGAGACTGCTGAGATAAGTGAAGCGGTCTACACGCTAGACTACTTCACTCCCTATCACTAGTTCAGGTGCCCATGAAACCCAATCTTGAAGCAACATTTTGCATTTCGACCTTGAGAACCGCATCCCGAACATGCTTGCATTGTTGCTTAGGGTAGTCTGAAGACTGCATTTTTTCAGTGTCTTCACCAAGTAGGACTATGTCATCGGCATATTCTAAATCAATAAGCGAGCCTCCTGGTAGTAGGTCTACTCCTCAAAATTGAGACGAGGATAAGGTTATTTCTAGGAGCATGTCTATGATAAAATTAAACAAGAATGGAGAGAGTGGACATCCCTGACGGACACCACTTGAAGTAAAGAATTCCGGTGACAGTTTGCCATAAGCTCTCACTCGACCAGTGGTGTTCAATTTCAACCTGTGACTGTAGGGGCAACAACCCTAAGTCTCATAAGTGAAAGTGATATTTAGCAGGTGAACTATAACCGCATTTGAAAATCAACACTCATTAAACTAGTTAAATAGATGGATTAAGTAACGACGTGTTTCTCTACTTTTGCTCATCGACTTGACAAGTATATATATTCAGTGATTGTTTTAAAACAAAACGTTAGTGGAACTGTACTGAATTCTGGTGAGATATCTAAAGTCCTAAAACCATCAATGTGACTGACATCGGCGCACCAACTTTATATCCTGTTTTTATTTTTGCAGGTTTACATCATGATCGGCATATCCCTCAAAAAGGTATCTTCGTTTCCGTTGCAGTGTCCGGTCCATGTTCACTCTAGAAATAAGACTACTTTGTATCTCTGGCGTAATGTAAATATTCGATATGGGTGCTAACAGAACCTCGACCTACGAAAATTCATAATGCAGCCGGTCATGTTTACAAATTGCACTTTGATTATCACATACGAAACAATGAGTCACTATTTTTTACACAACATTATCAGATTGTTTTTTTAATAAAACTTGAACTATACTTATCCATGTTGAGACATAAAATAAACATATTTTTATTGCGTGAGGATTTGCAAATGTTCTCAATGGAACAACCAACGTTCACGTAATAATATTCACGCTTTAATAAACCGCAACGTCTTACTTCACTCTGTGACATTCGAAGTAAAATAAGTTTTGTTATATTTCTAAACTCTTAGTTTGCAGAGGATTACTATTCGTTGATATTATTGCTTAGTGTTTCTTGTGTAAAATAAATCTAAACTTAGTCAAAGTTCGGTTATGTTCTATATGTCTAGACAGTAGAATTATTTATAGTAACTTTATCATCAGTAGGTATCACATGGAATTTTCTATACCTTCAAGCTACATTTTTATGTCATAGGAATATATAGTAACAATAATAATATCCGTCCAAATTTAAATGTAGCAGTGGACAACATAGCGCAACTCATTCACTTCATGTTTCCATATGTGGTATTACTTGCAAAATGATAGTATATGCTTACATGCATGTAGTTGTGTATACGGATGATAACAAGCACTATACAATTTCAGTATGCGAACCACATTTAGAAAACTAATTGCAAAGTATGCATTTTACATTATATATGTATAATAAGTGGCACAAGTTTACATAGAGAGAATATCATTGAGATAACAAATGATACAAGAATACAAAGCCATTTCAAAGTGAAGGATGAATTTTAAATCGCAAGTTATTTTAGCAGTAATAATCATAGTAAAGAAGCAAAAGACACACAGAATTTCTCTCACTGTAGGAGATAATAATGCTTGTATGTACATGTGTAAGTTAAACTGATGATAGTTGCTTGGTTAATTAGCCAAGTTACAAAACATATTTACAACGTAAAAAACAAATGTTTATTGAATTATCTGGTCTAATGAGGTTGTAAAATATTCGGATCGTCAAATTGTGGACTTGAATGTTTGGCAGTCGATACAATGTTCTGTACCTCGCCCGAAAAAGGGCTTTTATTTATTTCAAGATTCAATTTTTCGTGAGCAGGCCTTTCTATAACAATGGTTTCCAATGCGCTGCTAGTAGCAGAACTTTGTACTTCCTCAATCTCGAGATTTATTTCAGGCTTAATATTTTGTGTGTTGTCTTCATTTTGCGAATGAACACAATTCGAATGCTTTGCCAACCAATCAGAGTGGAATTTACGCCACTTGGTCGGTGAATAGTTTCGGCAAGTCTGAAACAGAAATAATTAATTAGATTAATGCTACTAACATAGATGAAAAAAAGGTATAGAATAAGCAAGACATTCCAATACTAAACTCCGCCTGTAGACCCTTCAAAGCTACTGCCGGTCCCAAACCTGGATAAAGGAGGAAGGGGTCGGCGACCCGATCCCACCAAAAAACTAACTTGCCAAAAAAACGCTAACCAAAAAAAAATAAATCAAACCATTTTGACTCTTTCCTGCGAGTTGGAAGAATTATGATGTCGCGTGATGAAAGCCGAGTTTCCTTGGAAGTCACGAGCCTGATGCCTATTCTGAAAACCAGAGCAACCATTCTTTTAGGTACATGGAACGTTCGTACATTGTGGAAGACTGGAAGACTATTTCAAGTTGCTGCAGAAATGAAAAGATACAACCTCGAGGTGCTCGGGATCAGTGAAATGCATTGGACACAGGTAGGACAACTGACACAAAAGGCACTGCTAGGATGGGAATCTCATGGACACATGATCGAACGAAAGGAACTAAAACGGTGAGAAATTTTCGAACCAATGTGCCTTCAACAAACTGGTCATCAGTGGCACAATATTATCACACAAGCGCATACACACTCCTCAAAACCAAATCGACCATATCTGTATCAACAAAAAGTTCAGGACTATGAAGGATGTGATAACCAAGAGAGGAGCTGATATGGCCTCAGATCACGGAATCTTGAAACAACTGTATGATACTGTTGTAACGGTAGCTTAGATAATTCCCGGCTAAATCTTATTGCTTAGTATATTTTGACACAAAACACTGGACAAGTTCCCAAAAATCAAAACACGGTTGAACAGGAAAGATTATATCCCAAAATAGCAAGGAATAAGAAGCCAGAGGAGATGGCGAAGGCCAAGGCAAGAAGGCAAAGATAAATACAACGCTAGTCTATTTATAGCCTTTATGTGAAAAAGCTTCTGGGAGAAAATTCACGTGATCGGCTGGATTAGATTTAACCAATCAGCATGCAGCTAATAATACGAGAATTTTCTATCCTGTTCTCCAAGCTGCGATCAGGCGCTGATTGGATAGGAAATTAGCCAATCAGCGCGTAGCGACGCAGCCATGCATTAATTCCATCTATGTCCACTAACAGATACAACAAAGATGCCCGCTGGAAAACAGCGTAAACCAGAACGACCAGTGAAAAGTAAGGAAGACAAATTAATCGGCAACACTGAAGAACAGCGAAATAGGTGGATAGAGCACTTTAAGGAACTCCTGAATCGACCAGCTCCACTAAACACACCCAATATCGAAGCAGCACCAACGGACCTCCCAATTGATTTTGGCTCACCTACAATTAAGGAAGTCAGCATGGCTATCAGACAAATCAAGAGCGGCAGAGCAGCAAGACCAGACAACATTCCAGCAGAGGCAATGAAGGCAGATGTGGAAGCAACTGCAAAAATATTTCACATCCTCTTCAAGAAGATTTGGGATGAGGAACAAGTACCATCAGATTGGAAAGAAGGATACCTGATCAAAACACCAAAGAAAGGCGATCTCAGCAAGTGTGAGAACTACACAGGCATCACTCTTCTTTCAATACCAGGCAAAGTCTTCAACAGGGTATTGCTAAACAGAATGAAGGACTTCGTAGACGCCCAACTTCGAGATCAACAGGCTGGATTTCGTAAGGATCGATCGTATACTGACCAGATTGCTACATTACGAATCATTGTGGAACAATCAATTGGATGGAATTCACCACTCTACATCAACTTCATCGACTACGAGAAGTCATTCGATAGCGTGGGTGGGAAAACACTGTGGAGGCTTCTTCGACACTACGGTGTGTCTGAGAAGATAGTTAACATCATACGGAATTCTCATGATGGATTCAACTACAAAATCGGACACCAAGGACAGCTAACAGACTCTTTCGAGGTGAAGACCGGTGTGAGGCAAGGTTGCTTACTCTCACCCTTTCTCTTTCTCTTGGTGATCGACCGGATTATGAAGACGTCAAAATCTGGAGGGAAGCACGATATCCAATGGACACCTAGGACGCAGATGGACGATCTGGAATTCGCAGATGACCTGGCTCTTCTATCGCACACGCAACAACAAATGCAAGAGAAGACGACCAGTGCAGCAGTAGGTCTCAACATACATAAAGGAAAAAGCGAAATTCTCCGATGCAACACAACGTGCACCAACCAAATCACTCTTGATGGAGATGCCTTGGAGGAGGTTGACACCTTTACATATCTGAGCAGCATCATCGACGAGAAAGGTGGATCCGATGCAGATGTGACTGCGCGGATCGGCAAAGCAAGCGGTGGATAGCACCTAACTGCGTCACAAGACAAGCCCTCACATGGAATCCTCAAGGCAGAAGGAAAAGAGGAAGGCCAAGGAATACATCACGCCGAGAAATACAGAAGGACATTAGAAGAATGAACAAAAATTGGACAGAACTTAGAGGGAAGCCCAGGACAGAGTTGGTTGGAGAAAACTGGTGGGCGGCCTATGCTTCATTGGGGTAACAGGCGTAAGTAAGTCTTCCAAGACTAACATTATGAACCCATTTCATATAGTATAGACTATTGTCAGCTAAAATAGGGAAGCCTTTTTTTTCGACAACATTGTAAATGCAGGTGCTTCCACAAAAATAATTTGAGCATAAATTATTCACTTTTTCTCCCTATAAACGACAACTACAAATAACAGGTTTTCATCTATGGATTATTTGTATGCTTTCCTATTTTAAACAATCATCTTCTTCTTCAACTTACCCGTCTACGATACCGAATGAAAATGCCATAAGAACCAACAGACCAGTTAATTTTGTGATTACGAGTAACTCTCGAATCCAAACGCTCAGTCGAATGCATACAATCACTTGAAAATGTATCACGGAATAACTAAAAAACGAAAATAATCCGCATAAATTATATGTAAATGAACAAGAATTGATTTATTTTACTGCAGTAGTTCAAAATGAGGTCCTCAATCATTTCTACAAATTGTAAATATAGTATGTTTTTCATCATATTCATATTCATCGATTTAAACTCTTTATGCAACTAGTGAAAATATTTAGAAGTAACTGTATTTACTTTACAACAAACTAGTATATCCAAATTAATCACTGATACTATGAGTATGTTAAAAAAGGAAGAATAAATTAATCGAACTAAGTATGATTATTATATTATTGACTATGATAACACAATCATACAGTTGACACTGAAAATAAAGAACAGTCCCAACAATTCTAATCTGGACACAACTACGGTTTTTTAAATACAACTTATTTAATAGCTATGTTCTGCATGCAAATTTTCTACTTTAAAGAGTTTAAAAAAGACCACACGTGTTAACGAAAGAGTACAAAGTGCAATCAAATCAAAGTAGATTTAAGAGAAATCATACCTCTTTATGTGTGAGATTGTTTTTGAATACTCGAATCATGAACTCCCAAACATCTCGCTCGAAATTCGATGAGTTAGGAGACTGTTCATCTGTTTCAGATTTGTTTTCGGTAATTAGATTCTTAACATCGCTGCTGACTAAACCTTGTGATAAGATCTAAAATCAAAGAAATTTAATCAGACGTAGAATATTTCCAATGTTTACTGGAGGAATGCAAAACATATATATGCAGCAGAATATCAGAACATCACCGTAGTGCCTATATAGACAGAAACCAACTGTGGAAACATGGTGAGATCAATAGATTCAATGTGAAGTTGGAGTTATTGATCAAGAGCACTACGTATAGTGAAAACATAACTTTCAAATTAGCATTAAAGATAATAATAATAAGCCCACAGAAGTGATTGTGATTTATGTTTAATCTACTCTTCCAATATAAAACACTGTCAATAAACTGTATGTAACTAATTCGAGAAAAATGTCTAACATGGGAAAAAATTAACTTTGACAAAATCATGCAAATTATATATAGAATGGCGATAGTTAACAAACCTCTTCAGGTTGCACATCTCCAGTGTCGACAAGTAATTGCTGTCTTCTTTGAAGTGCGTCACGCGTTAAAGCATTTACGCACCTACGAACATTTCTATACAGAAATACTGGCCGAATTCGAGAACACATACTATGTGGAACATAGCCAATAGTCCATGAGAGATGAGTTGTAAGATAGTCATACCAATGTCGGATTGAAAGATTCGGTTTCAAATTTTCTCTGTGAAGATGAATCTCCCGATCAACGATGCCAGAAGCAACCGAAGGTACTGATAAAGAATACGGAATAATGTTTCTGTGACCAGGATATGGGGAACATGAATCACGACTTTTCTCCCCTTCACATTTAGTTGAATGAGCAGGTTTCACAAGGCGGATGAGCATAGTAGATGCCTCCGAGAGTACCACAATTAGAAAACAATTTGGCCAGGAAGTAGTATTACTGTTAGAAGTAATATTCACATTATTCTGACTAGTACTAGATTGAAATGTAGTCCCAGAACTGGACCCAACGTTGTAAGAGCCATTAGCACCAGCGAATTCAGAACAAACAGCCATAGCTTGAGAATGGTATGTGCTTTCATTGGCTAACCTACACATGCGATTGTACAAAGGGCCACAGACGTCCCTACAGAGAAAAAATGATTCAAATATCCCAATTCAACAATTCATTAATATGGTAATACTTTGTAAGCAACTAACAGCTGTCAGTCTAATTTCCAGGTTACATAATGCAGTTTAAATATTCTTATGAGACTCCTCAGCAGTGCGTATGCATGACTCGAACCCAGGACCTTCGACATTGCAGGCGAACGCCTAACCATCGGACCACTGAGCCGGTATATTACGGTGTTGATGTCTAACTTGATCAATTCACGGAGTTGCGCAACCTGATATACAGTCTTCGGTAGTTACTGTCCACACACGAACAGGTTGAACTCCACTAGAACTCTGAGATCCCTCACGAAGCTAGTCACTAGTGAGCACAGGTTATATGCATTACGGGGTTGTGAAGATTGTTAAGTTTTATTTGAGGGGTCCCATACCACGACGAAACGGCCGTCCAGTGCTTCCAGGTTTCTAATGGTCGTCTAACATTGATTGATTCACGGTCTCGGAAAAAACTTAACAATCTTCACAACCCCGAAATGCAAATTCTTATGAGATTTGAAATAGGTTTAGTGGCGACATGAAACAAAGTAACTAACTGCAAGTTCAGTTATATTAGTAGGACATGTAAGTAATCAAAGTATGCCGAAAACATGATTATTTTGGGGCACGCCGATTGACGTCAATCAATGATGGTGAATAGCTGAAGGCTTTAGATTATTCTTGAGTAAAGATTATTAATATACTATACAATTACTAGTATACTATACTATTATTAATATATACTTACTAATTTTAGCAACAACAATATTAAGGCCATATGGACACTTGAAACATTCAGAGTAATTCAGACTCAGCTTTAATATGCAGTGTTAATAAGTAAAATCTTCCAGTTCATCCAAATAAAAGTGCTTAGAGTAAAAGTAAATTGAAAGGTTTTTGATATAGTTAGTCAATCAGAAGTGCCCAAATGAGAAGGCCATTTGATGACCATCATAAATATCCTAAAGGACGCATAAATATCACTGGTGAGGAAATGGATTTCTTTTCTATGGAAGTGAATACATAGATGTAGACGAGCAACTGTTTATATGATTCGGTAGTCAAATAGACGTTCTCTTCTGCTCTTTACCTTCTCGTTCAAACAATTATTTGGGGATTAGAGCTTATCGTTTTCAGATCTTCGAACCGCGCATCATAAGTTTTAGCCGATCATATGACAGAATATGAATTTGAAGCAATGCCTATCATATGCCTACATAAATCTAACCTGTTCTGAGCAAATGTGAAAGCAGACAGATAAGCTGAACCCCCAAAATGATGAGCTATTTTGAATACCTATATATATATTTGTCTTTGTTAATACTGATAATCATACCGCACCTCACCATATACGTGCAATGTTTGCCATGAATGCATCTGTCTACTAACTGTCTACTTGTATCATAAAAAGTGAGACAGTAATTTACAGAGTTAGCTAGTAAGTCAACTTCCAAACTGCATTCGCACATTCAGACTGCAGATTTTTTAACCGAGACATATTTGCCTGAATTATAATATTCCAAAAAACAATTCGTATTCAGCCCTTAATGTCGCGTAGTACAAAGTGACCAATGGAAGGACATATACAAAAAGTAATTAGGAACCATATTTTATAACTGGAATCAAATCCACAAACTGGTGACAACCGGCTATTTAAAGGCGACTTAGAGTAGGACAGATTACTGTGAACTAGACAATTTAGATAAGTCTCAAAGATCAAAACATGATGCATGTATAAACTTTACTTTATATCAATTAAAACTAGGAAAAATTAACGCACAAATGTAAAAGAAAACCAAAATATATCGAGTTTAAATGAACTTACGAATACTGAGGAAAATTTGAAGCAACACTAGTTGATCGAGAGTTTCGATCACTGTATGATGAGCTTCCGATCCAAGAACGATGTAAAGCAGTTAACCGACGACTTAGTTCGTCCCCGCTTGCAAGTGCTTGCAACTGACGAACTATATTTATTATAAGACGATCCATTGTAAACCATGGGTATGCATAAATGCTAAACATATCTCGCAATCGATCCTCGAATGTATTTATGTCTTCTCCTCCATCTAACAAATCTTTGACTAGATTGAGAGCGCGAGAATAATATTGTGACGGTTCAGTACCACCTGCGCATATTCACATAAATAAAAGTTGTTACATTATTTTTGTTGATATAATCCAGTTAATCTTAATAAGAAATTAAATGATTGTTTTTGTGCTAATGCACAAGTGCCAGGTTTTTTCCCGATTCTTTTTGCACCCTAAAAGGTCATTTTCACCTGTAAAACACTGAATTAAAAACTTAGATGGAATGAAATTTGATTACTCTTGACTCATTGCAAATTGTGAAATAATTTATCAACAAATATATTCTAACAAATAAAACTACCAAATTAGTTACTATAGATGATTAGTTGGATAGAAAATCAAGAATATACCATATGATTGAGCCAAAATCATGTAACCTTACTATACAATCTAGAATGTTTACATTACCCTGAAACAATCAATAATTACTTTGAAACCCAAACGTAAAAACATGAAAAGTGAGTAACACTCATTACAGACAACCTTCCATGTTGGGATTAAGATACATCATAATGGTGAATACGTTCTACCGATTGTTAAACTGATTCATGTATCGAAAGTACAAATATGAAAAGTTATTCGCTGAAACAATTTTTTTAACACAGATATTAGGATAGTTGGATAGTTGGATAAAAGCTTCTGGTGAATCTAAAAATTGAATTTACTAAAAATGTTCTTCAAATGTATGCTTAGCAGACACAAATGTTTACCAACATCGTTTACAAATATGTATCAAGGTCTCCAGATAAAATTGTCACGAAGAATGTTAGTTATAAGAATAGTGATAAATCAACTGATGAAAGAGGAAAACGTGCAAAATATGGAGACATCGTATGCGTATGATATAGTGATGAAAACTTTGGAGATAAAACATGAACTCAGTTGTACTATAGAGACTGACGTCAAGTCATAGTTTTAACCACCAATCCAGGTTACCCTAATAAACATCTGTCCACTTAAATAGCTCAGAGTATGAGTCTGTGGCACCATAAACTATGTCAAAGCCTGGTCAACCTACGCTTCGTCTGTTTTTAATTTAATACTACGTTAGTTGGGTAGGTTTAAAAGAAAGTATGCACCTGAACTGATTAGGACAAGGTTTGGAAGAATCTAGCCCCGAACGTAGCTGCTACCTTCGATGTGATGGTCTAGATTACCTAGCATGATGACTCAACGAAGCTACGTCGGCTGGAACATATGACCCTATAGGTTCTATAGTATCAGGCACGTCGATTGGAGAACGGCAAGTCAATGTCTGAGGGCGAAGTCGTACTGCTGACTGCAGAGAGGTGTGACAGCAGTAAGGTGTTTCCCTCGGACAACCAGCATCTGCAGCGATGCTGACTTCTCACAAGTAAGGAAGAGATTAGGAAAGACCGACCCTAAAAATGTCACATCACCTTACTTCACGGATTTCCTTCTCCGACGATAAGGCCACTTGAAGAGCAGAGCTGTTAGTTCCAAAAATAGTCTCCAAAATCTTTCGATAAAAAGGCCGTGCATGACCGGCCTCGAGCAGTTCTTCTTCGAACCCTAAGGTCTCTAAGGCTAACATTAATCTAACTTCCCTTTCAGCTACCTCCAGAAACACTCTTCTAAGCTGTGAGTAGCCGGGAAGTGACATCCGCCCTCATACACGTAACAGCACACGATACCAAATCGGTCACAGTCAAATCCTTCCTACACCTCCTAATAACTCGCTTATTGCCACTATTAACCCTTCTCACGTTACTTTATTATCCCGCGCCGCTAATGCAAACGACTAGAGTTCACGAAGCGTCCCTCTTGGTCTCCTGAAACCCCGTTCTGAACTACATGTAGCTTTTAATGTCCAGACACTGACATTGCCAAATATGACAAGCTTCCTTAGCCAGGAATTCAAAAACTTGGCACCATCGATGTATGCTGCGTCCCCGAAACGTGCATACACGATCCGAATAGCGTCATTCATTTGACTTCACCATGTCAAAACAAAGAGCCAACTCAATGTACTCTTCGTGTATATGAAAGCCCTCCTGCTGCTTCCCAGGGTCTCACCTATGTAGATAGAGAACTAGGTTCTCAGGCAGAACTAGTTCTCCTAGACCTGATCCCAGTGGATAGACGCTTATGCGCTGTCTGATTAAACGAGACGGTACACACTTGGAAAAATTGGGACATCCGCCGTCACCGCTTCGTCGTCTCTGCTCCCATTTAAAGGGGCTCAGATGAGACAAAACATGAATTTTAAAGGAAGCTTTCGGACCTCCTCAAAACGGGCGCTTTGAAAGAGTGATAGTATCGAGTGACTTAAATGCTCAAGGTGTCGCGGCTGATCGAACAATCTAGCCCCACAATTTTTAATGATGGTGGTCCAGATTTAGCAGTTAGATTGACTGAGATCTTAGGTAGGATCTGGGAACCGGGCGTAATCCTTGTGAATGGACTAAATTACTGATTCCGCACATCTATGAAAAAGGACAAACTCCCTTTTCTGACAATCACAGAGGAATCAGCCTAACTAAGATTGTTTCTAGAAATTAGTCTCGATAATACTTCCACTCCTAACTAGAGCTCGTGAAGAATAGACTCGAAAAAACCAGGCCGATTCCAGACCTGGAAGTAGTTGTGTAGACCACATATTCACTCTTCATCAGGTCCTAGAAAAGAGACACATTTCGGCGTCCCACACCATTGTTGCACTCCTAGACCTTAAAGCGCCATTCGACTATGATGATCGTGAGGTTCTATGGCGGTGTATATCAATGAAAGATGTACCAAAAGTACATTACCGCTATATAGACCCTCCATTCTGACACTAGTAATCAAGTCAGAGCTTATGACGAACTGTCATCATAATTGATTACTTCAAGTTGTGTAGAAAAGGGCAGGCCGCTTTCTACATTCTTGATCTGCATTGTCATTGACACTTACATCATTTCACTTACATCTTTTCAGGAGTTCCTCTTCTACCAGGAGATTCACTTGTTGACTTAGAATACGCCGATGACATAGTTGTACTTGGTGAATACGCTGATAAAACTACAGTCTTCTGACCACCCTGAGCAGCAATGCAAGCATGTTCGGGATGAGGTTCACCTACTCCGAATGCGAAATGTTGCTTCAGGATTGGGTTGCAACTGCACCTGAACTAGTGATAGGAAGTGAAGTAGTTGAGCTTGTTAACCACTTCAATTATCTCGGGAGTCTCATCAGTGCTGATGGCCAGGTGACTGACGAAATCTCAGAACGGATAGGCGACATATCAATATGCTAACCAAAGGACTAGTCTACAGCACATCAGTTTGCTCCGTCCTACTCTATGGCTGTGAAACCTGGCCTGTAAGAGCAGAAGATATTCTTAGGTTACTGGTTTTTGATCATAGGTGTCTCCGAAGCATTGCTCGTATATCTTGTAACTATCGAGTAATCAATGCAGTTGTTAGGAAACGGGTACTAAGCAAGGATGGCAAATCAATTAATGAAGTACCGCATCTTCATCAGTTGAGATGGTTGGCACATGTGTTACGTATGCCTAACCACCGACTGCCTCGATGAGCAATGTTTTGTTATGTAATAGTGAGAGAGAAAGAGCTTAGGGTGCGCTAACATAGTTTGAATGACTCAAGTGATGTTTAACAAGGCTGGTAACATTAAACACTTCTATTTCATTTTGTTGTTAACGCCTAACTTGCAGAAAATACTTTCATCCGACTTTTCAAAGATTAATCTGTCAGAAGACTCATTTTATCAACTTAAAGTACAAAGATAACGGTTTTATTTTATGTTTATAGGGATGAAATATACAGTAAGCCTACAAAATTGTTACGAATTTTTCAACTGACTATGAAAAAAACTTATATATTTCAACAACTACAATGAACATGAAATAAGCAAATAAATGAATTATTTACTATGCCTATATCCAGGAAGCTAATAAAGATTTGTAAATGCGAATTAAAAATGGTAGTCGAAGCCGTCAACTAGCTAATAAACTTCACAATTCGTTCAAATTTAACACACAAACATGTTCATTAACACCGAGAAAATAGTTTTCGAAATACATTTAGTATGAACATACCATATCGACGAAGTCGAAGCACTTCTGCAGCCTGCACGTGATATTCATTCCGTTCTGATGTAACCTGTTGAGCAGCTACAGCGCAATAAGATCGCAAGTGATGCAATCGACACAAAAGGAGATGATGCAATCTCAGAAAAGAATACCTAAAAAAGAAAAAAATCCGAAAGTCAACAAGAACGTAGCATCTGACACTTCAACTGATCCCAACAATCGAAATAAATAATGATCACAGTAAACTTTAGAATAGTTAACTGTGAAATAAGTAGTAGTCAGAAGTACTTATCCATTCTCCATGACTAATACATCGCAGTGCATACTATTATGTCAAGCCTACACGGTTTGTTCTAGTATTTGTAATTATTCACACACATTTTGATATTATTAATTATGCGTGCATAACCTTGAATGTTTTTATTTGAGCGTGTATGTGTATCGCTTATTCATTTATCACGTGCGTTTAGTTTATTTTAAGAGGGCTATGAATAGTTAGTCACGCCGTTTTCGGAAACACGTTCGGGTCTTGTATCGTATATCTAGCCTTTTCATAAGGCTTAACAGTCTTCTGCTACTTCCAAAAGGTAATCTTAAAGACGATGAAGTTTAGCGTTTATTCATCAAATAATTTTTCTGAAGTAGGTTGATAGTTGATTTATATGGAGTTATCTAAGTAATAATATTAAAACGCTATCTGATTTGAATTGATAAAAGTTCTAAAATCAAGTTAATGTTTCTATCATTTGGGACCTTGGGATAATTAATGAATTGTTTATTTGCTTTCAATCAATTTGGACGAGTCTACTGACTCCAGGAATAATTAATACATAGAGTTCAGAAAATCTACAGACGCTGATAGAAGTGAAATAGAATCTAGTTTAACCTAATATAAGTGCAATATTACACTCGAAATTATTATAGGGATAACAAAAAAAACAATTTACCATCTAAGGGTCAAAATAAGTAACTTAAAATCAATCTCGGAAATAAGACAGCTTTTGTGAAACCACAACTACCCTCATCATAATTAACACCAACGACTAAGCTATATACATAATACAAAATTGATTTATGGGTTATCATAGTTAAAATGTATGATGTGCAAATTAAAACAATTCCATAATCAACTAACCAATGGTTGTTTCCATACAGTACAGAATAACACTCATGTTTAGGTAAACTAGCTATGTAACCAAGCTCCATATTACGAAGTTCATTGGCAGAATTGTCGTGATTCATGTGACAAGGCATAGGTTTACTCTGTATAGATGATTCAGGAAAATTTAAATCATCTGATTTTAATTTCGAAGATGAATCGCTAGTTTGAATACCCAACAACTCCGTCGGCATTTTTATATCATCTTTTCGTAACTGATCACATTCAGTATGATCAGTAGCAGGAAATATTGTTTGTTCAGTAGTGACTGATTTTCGAGATTCGAGAAATCGCCTAGCTGATTTAGGTTGACGAACAGATCGACTGCGACAATTTTCTTCACTTTCAATAAAATCATCTGCTGTCGGCTCATCTTCATCTTTTTGGTTCACATCTTCCTCTTCATCCTCATCATCCTCATCATCGGACATTGGGAAACGATTTGCCATAAAAATATCTTGTAATACAGTTCGAACCTGAACATAAAAGAAAAACCAAATGTCGATGGATACTAAAAAAAGCTATTATTCAAAAGTAATGTGATGTTTATCACAAGATTTGTCTCCCTGGACCTAGAGACTGCATTTGACTGTCGATCGTGAGGTTCTGTGGCAGGGTCTGTCATTGAAAGGTGTACCAAAGAAGTACATTAACCTTAAACAAGCTCTCTATCCGAACACTACATGTCAAGTTACAGCTTATGGCGAACTGTCATCGGAATTAGTTACTTCAAGTAGTGTGCGTCAGGGATGCTCACTCTCCCCATTTTTGTTCAATTTTGTCATAGACATGCTCTTAGATATAACATTATCACCGTCCGAATCTTCAGGAGTGGACCTTCCACCAGCAGCCTCCCTTACTGACCTAGAATATGCCGATGATATAGTTCTATTCGGTGAAGACGCTGACAAAATGCAGTCTTCTGACCACCCTAAGCAACAATGCAAGCATGTTCGGGATGCGGTTCTCAAGGTCGAAATGCAAAATGTTGCTTCAAGATTGGGTTTCATGGGCACCTGAACTAGTGATAGGGAATGAAGTAATCGAACATGTAGACCGCTTTATGTATCTTGGGAGTCTCATCAGTGCTGATGGCCTGGTGATTGACGAAACCTCAGCACGGATACAGGAAGCTCGATTGGCTTTTGCCAACCTGCGTCACCTATGGCGCAGGCGAGATATCCGTTTGCTGACTAAAGGACGAGTGTACTGTGCAGCAGTTCGCTCCGTCCTACTGTACAGATTCGAAACATGGCTGTTGGAAGAAGGCTAGGGGCGACCAGACCAAAACATGGCAGAAATCCATGAAGTCACACACAAGTGGACTGAGTCATGTTGGTAGATGTAAGCTACCTGGTTGGGGTCCGCGAGACGTTAGTTATCGATGGTTAGAGACCTTGAACGACATGGCTCAAAATCGTTTGCAATGGCGCAGGTGCATCCACTCTTTGTGTTCTGTGAAATTCTAAGCTTCTGCATTCCTCATAATCTCTACCTTTCTCCTTCTAATTTTATCTTACTGAATTATACTTCTCGAGTCATATCTTCGCTCCCTAATCTTCTCCATTACTGCTAATACTTCTACTATCGCTATCACTCTTGGATTTGAACTGACAGTTGTGTCTCTGTGCTGATGTGGTATGGCAACCTGAACTGATGTACTTACGTACGAAGTTCTGCGTTGTATCTGTCTGTCTGTCTGAAAATGTTTATGTGACAGTGGCAACTGATCTGTGACACTTTCTATCAAACTCTTAATCAAATCTGAACAACTCCTATATCACTTATCCATCCATAAGTGCCATTGTAATATTTCCTTTCTGCTATGTATTAATGAAATCGAAATTCTATTCTAATTGATATTGGAATTAGAATAATTTTCATCCATCAACAGCTTATGTTTATTTCATTAGATTCCTGTTAATTTGCAGTTATGTTTAAACTGTACATACTTTTTTCTTTTGAACACAACAAAATCATGGTAGAATAATGAATAAAAGATGACACATAAAATTTATGTATGCTCATTTCAGCACCAATTGTATAGCGCAACCAGCATAACGATAGTTAAGAAATAGAACCAAGGTACTACTTCTTGAAAAAGTCTAATTAATCAGTAGCACTGCTAGTTCTAAAAGTACAAAATTTATGTAATATTGCTTTGGTATCGATCAGAAAGTACACAAGCCTGAAAACAAATATAAATTTCAAATAACATGAACTAGAAAAATCTAGAAAAGTTACAAAACGATTGGCCCTCATTAATTTATCTATTCAATGATGGTACGGAGAGACTGATGTGTCCATTGCAGATCAATCAGTGCTGGTAGACAATACTAGCAAATGTTAGGAGGTTCCGGCATAAACACTCATTCTTGAGTTGAGATGTGTTGAAGTGGGCTAGTTATCCAACACAGACAAGGTATGTTATAACTAAGCTAAAAGAACGTCTAGCACTAAATAAATAAATGCGAACTTTGCTTTATCACAACACATTCTGAACTAAATTAATTCAACACATTAAATCATATATTTCCTTACATAGTTTTATAAGGAATATATTAACCAGAGTATTTATCGATGTTGAGCTGAACTACAAAAAGCAATATAAATACAATCGAAAGTTACAAACCTACTGAGGTATGCCGATAACACGATAAGAAAGATATACTAACTATAGTATTGGAATGTTAAAAAATTTACTAATTATGTACTACCGTATTCACATACCAAACATTTCATGGAGCGTTTATCACTTTTGCTTGCATTAGACTGCCTTTTAACATGATGGATGATCAAAGAGGCAGCATCTTCTAGTAGTGTATTCCTAACATCTGGTGGTGGATACACCAGAGTAAGATGAGCTGATTCATCTTCATTATTACCTTCCAAAACATTTGCTAACGCAGATCCCATAGTTCCTGGATTATTGATATCTCGAGAAATAAGGTTTCGTTGAGTGATCAGAGTAGAAATCATTTTCCCAACAGGATCTGAGGTGGAGTGACACAATGGAACCTGGAAGGGAATAGTGAAATCGGTATAAATGGGTAATCAGAACCAAGTCAGTCAGTTAGTTAAAACGTAGAACCTGGTACGTACATCAGTTCAAGTTGTCTTGCCTGATTAGGACAAACAGATGAAATGGTCAGGTCGAATTCCAGAGCGATATAAGTAGTAACAGTATTAGTAGTAATGAAGAAGACTAGGGACAGAGAGAACGAAAGTACAAATCAGTGAAAAAAAACAGGAAAGATGATAGTGGATTCAGAAATTTGGAATTTGAAGGAAGACAAACGACGAATACATCTGCGTCATTGTAAGCGATTTTACGCCATGTTATTCAAAGTCTCTGATCACTGCTTACGATCACTATGCAGTACTATGTAGTCTTCAACTACTATCACGGCTCATGGACTGGTGTCATGGTTTGGTCTGGCCGCCTCTAGCTTTCTTCCAAGCCACTCCTACACTACAAAACATTGCTCATCGAGGCAGTCGGTGGTTAGGCATACGTAACACATGTGCCAACCATCTCAACTGATGAAGATGCGGTACTTCATTAATTGATTTGCCATCCTTGCTTAGTACCCGTTTCCTAACAACTGCATTGATTACTCGATAGTTACAAGATATACGAGCAATGCTTCGGAGACACCTATGATCGAAAACCAGTAACCTAAGAATATCTTCTGCTCTTACAGGCCAGGTTTCACAGCCATAGAGTAGGACGGAGAAAACTGATGTGCAGTAGACTGGTCCTTAGAAGGTCAACGCCTGGAAAGTCAGTTGATGAAAATGTCGTCTATAAAAGCATGTTGGTGACGAAGTTGAACAAGAATGGAGAAAGTGGACTGTTCTTCCCGACGCCACTCCAGGTAATCGATTCTGATGACAATTTACCCTACGCTCTGATTCGATCAGTAGAGTTTTCGTAGAAAACCTGTACAAATTTAGTAAAATTCTTTGACACACCTTTCAATAACAGAGTGACACAGAACCTCACGATCAACAGAGTCAAACGCCGTCTTATGATAAAGGAATACAACTATTGTTAGAAGTCAAAAGGTATGTTCCATAACCCGGCGAAGTGTGAATATTTCATCTAAACATTCATGTACAAACCTGAAACCAGCCTGGTTTTCTAGAGTCTGTTCTCTTAGGAAGTAGAAGTATATTAGAATCTACAATGATTAAACCGATTCCGTTGTGACTGTTACAAGAGGACTTTTGTACTTTTCAATAGACTGAGATGATCAACCATCGAAAACGGTCATCAGATGACACCACGTCCACATCTCACATTCTAGCTAAGAACGCAATTAATCTAGCTGCTCAAACTGAACCACCATCCTTAAAATTATCAGGTGTTAATTCATCAGATGCTGCTGCTCTCCCTTGCCTTTTCGAGTTACTAAGAGTCGGATGACTAATATCAATTTTCCATTTAGATTACTTGGAGATGGTGCGGAGCTGAGGTGTGGCTGAAAGCTGGAAATATAACCAAGTGAAAATACCCAAATTATGCAGTAAGAACAGCGATTATCAGAAAAGGTTTAATAAGTTCACAATATTAATGGTAGGCGAATAGTTAATAAAAAGTAACCTGAATCTTGATAAATTGATCATAAGCTTATCAGAAAAGTTGAATTCAAAATTCTAAAACCTTTTACTTATCAAAGATATCTCTCAATACTAGGTTTGCTTTGACACAAAAAGACGATATCAACTTAATCCAATTTACGATATTTCTAATAACTTTATTGAATGAAACTTCAAACTAGTTTTCCTCCTATGAACTGAAAATATCGGGAAAGGTTTATGGCGATTAAACTGAACTGGAAGAAAACATCGACTAATTGTTTGTATTGTTTTTCAGCTTGAGTTTTAGTAATGACAGTAGGTAATACACCACAAAATCAATCACAATAACTTAGATTCATTTAGTTGATAAATGAATAATATTTAGAACGAACGGGCAATTGAACATTATCTGGATTCGCTGCAACTGGTGAATAAATGATGAACATTAAAACTAACAAGTAGATTGACAACCTGTAGACCAAATAAATTCAAGAACTGAAGCAGCGGTAGTGACCTTAGCAATCGATCTTAATCGGGTGGTAGATATCTTGGACTCATATATTTCGATGTAGAAATAATCATTTTTGTAAATAATAAATAACCCATGATAGATTTAAAGAGGAATAATTCAACTAAAAAGCTTACCTTATCATTACGCGCAATTGTTTCAATCTGACTAATCATAGTCTTACTACGAATGAATGGGGCATCTCGTTGCTTGAATGTCGCCCCTTGGTGGTCTAAAGAACGTAAATAATTGCGAGCATCCTGATCTGCCCACGAACGTTGATAGTTACGAATAGTTTCTCGCCACTCTGTATCTTTTTGACGCATACGTTGTATGACTAACGGGAGAACAGTATTGGGACAATTTTTCAAGCCATATATTACATCTCCTGCCTTATCACCATAAACTCTGAATACCAACAAAAGTAGAAACGTTATGATATAAATGGAACGACGAATTAAAAATGACATCAATCGGTTACGATATAAAAAATATTATCGTCGACTGGAATTAATTAAGTACAATAGCTGCTATCTATTCAACTCGAAATATCAAATATGCACTGGCAATATCTACCTAATAATTTAAGTAATCCGGAACTATTAGTTACACTATTTTAAACATATAAGATGTTTTAATCTAAAGAGCGGAAATCAATTATTTGGCACGATCATTAACTTGAAAAGATTATGGTTAAATCGACTGAAACATAATACATTGTAATAATGTTAACAATGATAGATACCTGTGTATAGCTTTCCTCATTAAAATCGCGGATGTCCCACCTAATTTGTCATCCAGATGGAATTGGTTGAGTTCCTCTTTACTCATTCTGTCCATGCGTCTTTTCACAACAACAAGATTTTGCATTGCGGCTCGATTGAGTTCAGTGACCATATCTACTTCATAACGTTCGTCTTCTACACGATACATATTTTCTTCATACTGGTTCTTTTTGGATGATACGAACTGAGAATCTTCAGAAGTAAGCGAAGAGAAACTAATATACGAGTCATTCAAAACCTGCAATAATAAATAAAATTTTTCTCAGAAAAATGAGACGACTGTAGAGTATAACAAAAGAGAAAACTGATAGGTTACCGGCATACTAAATTGAGTAAGCATGACACCAATCTATCAAGTTACTAACAATTGAACTAAACCATGTTAGTGTGTGTAAACTACCAGGTTGGGGTCCTCAAGACAGTGGTAACAGAAGGTTAAATACTTTGAACAAGTGCTGGAAATCATTTGCAATGACACAAATGAATCCATTTTTGTCGTCCCCAAAATACTATGCTTCTGGATTGTTCATGACTTTCCTCGCTTTTCTTTCAATTTATTTCACTGGCTTGTAACTTTGTGATTCATGTCTTCAATCCCTAATCTTTTCCATAAACAGTGGTGTAGCTCCTACCTCTACTGCTATGGACAGACAGACAGATACAACGCAGAACTTCGTACGTAAGTACATCAGTTCAGGTTGCCATACCACATCAGCACAGAGACACAACTGTCAGTTCAAATCCAAGAGTGATAGCGATAGTAGAAGTATTAGCAGTAATGGAGAAGATTAGGGAGCGAAGATATGACTCGAGAAGTATAATTCAGTAAGATAAAATTAGAAGGAGAAAGGTAGAGATTATGAGGAATGCAGAAGCTTAGAATTTCACAGAACACAAAGAGTGGATGCACCTGCGCCATTGCAAACGATTTTGAGCCATGTCGTTCAAGGTCTCTAACCATCGATAACTAACGTCTCGCGGACCCCAACCAGGTAGCTTACATCTACCAACATGACTCAGTCCACTTGTGTGTGACTTCATGGATTTCTGCCATGTTTTGGTCTGGTCGCCCCTAGCCTTCTTCCAACAGCCATGTTTCGAATCTGTACAGTAGGACGGAGCGAACTGCTGCACAGTACACTCGTCCTTTAGTCAGCAAACGGATATCTCGCCTGCGCCATAGGTGACGCAGGTTGGCAAAAGCCAATCGAGCTTCCTGTATCCGTGCTGAGGTTTCGTCAATCACCAGGCCATCAGCACTGATGAGACTCCCAAGATACATAAAGCGGTCTACATGTTCGATTACTTCATTCCCTATCACTAGTTCAGGTGCCCATGAAACCCAATCTTGAAGCAACATTTTGCATTTCGACCTTGAGAACCGCATCCCGAACATGCTTGCATTGTTGCTTAGGGTGGTCAGAAGACTGCATTTTGTCAGCGTCTTCACCGAATAGAACTATATCATCGGCATATTCTAGGTCAGTAAGCGATTTTCCTGGTACAAAGTCGACTCCTGCTATGGGGTTTGAACTGAAAAATTTATCGCTTTGTGCTATTGTGCAGTGGCAACTTGAATTGATGTACATACCTATTAAGTTCTACAATGTGACTGACTGTGTTAACTTGCAGATATATTTTATGTTAAAGGGAAGGAAAACAACGGTTTGAGTAGAATAACAAATCCATTTTAGTTAAATTCTTATCAGCTGCTTACAATGTTCATGCTTGATTATTGTTGTTCGCTGATTGGACCATTTATTACAGTATGTACACTTGGATATAATCTCACTTTGACTAACTGTATAACATTGCTTTTAAGTCAAATTCATTTACGAATTTCGCATCGCGTTCTCCGAATTTTTCATCTTATCTGCACATGGGTTTTCATTTATGTATCGACCTTTTGCGTGACTTCAAATTATAAAATCGATCCTTACATTTGATATCCTAATATTCTAGGAAAATATTTTTCTTCCAGTCAACTCCAACACAAAATAACATCGCTAGTCGAGGTAGTCAGTGGTTGAGAATACGGTTTACTTGTGAAGACTTGTACTAAAGATCTGCAAGAAATCTCTAAATTTCTGAATTTAGTGGCAAACGTATTCACAAGTTGAAACGACTTAACATCCAATTTATCATGAAATTACTATTATATGTTTCTAAACTTCTAATAATTGGCTTACCTCCTTTGCAACAGGACATTTTTGACGACCCGAACACTTGCTCTGTGGAAAATTCGATGGTAGCGCTCGATAGCTTACACCACACGTTCGAAGTTTAGTAAAATCGAGATCCAGTCTTTTTTGGGATACCTCACTGACAATTGATACTAGTGAAGAGGGTAGCTGATTGTTCATGTTGTTTGATAAGACATCAGAACAAGTATGAGCGTCGCACGGAAGACTGTAGGTACTGTATTTATCACGATCGTGCTTATCTCGACCAAAACCATGAGTATGAGACTGAAACTGTCCAAGCCCTTCCTGAGATGAATTGCGTGATGACTAGATAACCCAAAGAGACAACCATAATAAGTGACATTCACGGAAAAAAATAATCGGTGAGGCTAGTACTAAATGGTCGTAAGATAGTAAACTCTGATTACTGATAACAGTTTGTACAACTACAATTTCTATCACTTTGAACTAGATTAGCCGTTTATTGATAAAGGCGTTTAACTCAGCAATTAAGTGACAGGTTTTAACCCCTGTTTACTTACTACGATATGGAAGTTTGAGGAATGAAAGGTTAATACTGACAGTAATCGTATCTAATGGTTGACTAATAGGCTATTCTCATGTGTATTAAATATATATGTACGAGCACGTAATTTCTGGAAATGGATAGAACAAACATTAAGGAAAGCACCCAACTGCGTCACGAAACAAACCCTTACTTGAAATCCCCAAGGTCAAAGAAAAAGAGGAAGTCCAAAAACATATTCCACCGAGAAATGGAGACAGATATAAGAATGAACGACAATTAGACAGAACTAAAAAGGAAGGCCCAGGACAGAGTATGTTGGTGAATGCTGGTCGGTGGTTTATGCTCTACTAGGGGTAACAGGCATAAGTATGTAATTGAAATTTTGATGTAGCCACAAAACCAGTTCGCTAAGGAAACACTAGATAAGTCCATGAGGTTTAACTTTGCACAGGTATCAGTTTATTGGTCGTCCACTGTAAAATCCTTGTTAACTTTCAGCGTACATATATATATATGTAATCGGACAAGTTTTAGGTCCTAATCAACCCGTTCACCCAAAAATTAAATATAAATGCAAATGTCTGTTTTGCTTTCTTCATGAATTTCTCGAGTCTTATCATCATTTCATTGGAAGTATTAAAACAATCCAAATTACCGGACACTAAGTGTACATCTTTCAGAGCAGGTAAACGCCTAGTACACAAAATAATTTATGCCTAATGATATCAAAGTTGTAATAATTGAAGTCAGTGGGTTGCAAGGTACAGATTATCAACTGAACTAATCAAATCATACGAGTCATTTTGGGACAAACCACTTTTGAATGCAATCGCATTACGTAGAGCTTGGCTTTTTTCACCAAGTTCGTTAACCCGGAGAGTAGAATAATTTTTAAATTCTTCTTACCATGACAAAATCACTGAAGCGCTTCCAAACTTCTACATGTCTTAAAAACAGGGGGTGAGTTGCTTCCAATAATTCATCGGCTGAAATTATTCGACGATTAAACAGACAAACATTTTGTAGGAAGGTTTGATAGGAACGATTCCCGACTGAGCTGTCTGCATCTAAAGCATCTCGGATCTAGTGAGAAAATGAAAATCTACGATAAAAACATACCTTCTGTAACAGTGAAATGCCAATCCCTGTAGTCAGTTGGTTTGCATCAACAACACTTACATCTCGAACAGATGAACGTGACTTTTTAGGTGGATTGAGAGAAGGAATAACGTTTGGGAATATGCTCTGAGCAGGGGCGATTCGTTTTAACTTTTTGGCATCAGAGTTTGCAGGACTTCCCTCCTGACATGGACGCTGTTTACAGGAAGATAGTGCCAAGTTGATACCTTCTGAAACACGATTTATCAACTGAGGCACTGGAACAGATGAGTCCAACACATCTGATCCCCCAAGCTGTGAAAAATTGGAATTCTTCCTGTTTATCATTGTTTCGGTCTATTAGAAAGGAAAATTACTTAGGAAAGATAAAGACTTACAACAGCACTCGTGACACCAAATGATTCAGGCAGGAACTGACTGAATTCTTGAAGTAGATCTTCTTGACCACCAAAAAGCTTAGCAACGTCCTGGTAAACCTGTAATTCTGCCTGTTTGCGGCACATAGGGTCGGAATGTCGTTGTTCTTTTTGATACCATTGTAAGATATCCAAGAAGCGTTTGTAGACATCAGGTATACCCTGGAAGCGATTCTATATCAATTATGGTTTGGAAAACTTCATACAACTTACTTTTATCTTATTTACATACTGGAGAGCATGATGGAACGACTGAATTTGTTGATGCTGTTGATATACATGAGGAGACTGAGTTAAATTCGAAGCATTGTGGGAGCTTCTAAGTATAACATTGGGAAGGTTTTCTTGGTAATCTGTCGATAATAACTGTTGCTGGCTCGATGAGTTAAAATTGGGATTATCAGGCTGAATGTTGGGAGTTAAAACATGGACAGGAGGTGAAGCACTAGTTAAAGGTAGGCTGCTCGATACAACCGGGACATGGGAGTTTGGGCGACTGGCAGGTTCATAATGGCTACTAACTAAGCCTGGAGTCCATTCATTAGACGCCTCAGTAATTTTAAGTGAAGCACAAACCCCTTTTACTGGAGTAACATTGTCAGTCGAAGATATAGATAATGTTGTTCTTGAAGGGATAACAGTACAAGTAGGTTTGGTATTAAAAGATTGATGAGATGTGGGTGTATCCATTCGATAACCCTGAGGTATGAATGTATTAAACCCAGTAATGAGATCGGGATGACCCTCGAACAGTTCACGCACTCGGCGAATAACAACCTCTGTCCCAATTCTTAAGAAAATAAATAATAACTTGTAAAACTTACGTCTGTGCCTTGAAATCACGCATAACATCAAGAAAGTCCATATAGATAGCCCCTTGACCAGAAAACCTAGCCTTTACCTGGTCTAAGTAAGATAGCGCATCCTCAACTTTGAGGCACTTCATCATTGTCTACTACGAACTACAATAATTATAAAAACAAAAATTTTAACCAGAGAAAAAAATAGACGAAATTCCATAAAGTGGGTACCTCATTTTTAGCGTAAGACGGTACGCAAGAACTAAATCTACATACCTTCTTTAACATGATTCACTTTTTAATGAATACAAATCCAGCTGACTGATGATACCTAAGTTTATACCTTTGAAAATGAAGTCTTCAAACTCAGCGTTTAAACTTACAAACAATAGTGATTAAAAGACAAGGTTCTGCTGCATTTCATTAAACAACCAATGGCCAAACCAAAACATGGCACAAATCCATGAAGTCACTGACAAGTGGACTGGGTCATGTTGGTAGATGTAGGCTACCTGGTTGGGGTCCGCGAGATGTTAATTATCGATGGTTAGAGACCTTGAACGACATGGATCAAAATCGTTTGCAATGGCGCAGGTGCATCCACTCTTTGTGTTCTATGAAATTCTAACCTTCGAAGTTCCTCACCACCCTTGCCTTTGTCTTTTTTTTTTAAGTCTTTCACTAGATTCTACTTCTTGAATAATATCGTCAAACCCTGAAATTTCTGATTGGGGCTATTACTTTCACTACCTACACTTTATGGGATTGGAAGTGACAATTGCATCTCTGTGCTAATACAGTATGGTAACTAGAATTGATGTACGTGCGTACGAAGTTCTACGTTTAATCAATCAATCAATAGCGACGTAGAACTTCGTACGTACGTACATCAGTTCATGTTGCCATACCACGTTAGCACAGAGATGAAATTGTCAATTCAAATCTCATAGAAGTAGAGATAGTAAAGATATTAACAGTAATCAGAGGTTAGGATTAGAAAATAATATTCAAGAAGTAGAATCTAATGAACGAAACTTAAAAGAAAAAGAAAGAGGTGGTGAGGAACTCCGAAGATTATGATTTCATAAAACACAAAGTATGAATGCACCTGAGCCATTGCAAACTATTCTGAGCCATGTCCTTCAAGGTCTCTAACCATCGATTACTACAATCGAGTTCTATGTTGCAGCTGACTGACTGACTGACATCATTCAAGACAATAGGCTTAATAAGTTATTACTAGTCAAACGTTCGTGCTGACTACAAATTCAACATGCGAGTATGTAAAACACATTTCAAAACTAGAAAGTTGCAAGATAAATGTGTTTAGTTATCTATCGGTGGCGACTGTTGATGAGGTTGACGTCCTGAGGAGACTTTTGGATCTCTCCTTGAAAACGAGATATCTGCTATCTCCAGACATTTAAGAACAGTACAACAGTTAATTCGCGAATTTCCTAACTCTCCGTACAATGACCAAACAATCAGTCTAGGGATAGTGACTAGGCACCAGCAATACGAACTAGGTTAGTTTCCCAAAGGTAAATTTAGTCGAAACCAGATAAGAACAGCTACTCAACGTCATTTTGACTAACGAAATACTTATATCACTGATATAGAAAAAATGTCTTCATAGCACATCACATTTTTAGGCAACATTTAGTGCCCCATGGTCACTTAAAAGACGAGTTTCAGCCGTTAAACAAAAGGTAATGTGTTGGATGAAGGCGTTTCTTCGCACCCAACGACCACGTAATAGTCGTACAGTAAGTGCTATATCTGCAGTCAAGACTACGACTTAAGAATTACCATTAGCTGATAATAAATGTTACCTCCCCACAGAAATAGACAATGTGTAGGCAAATTTAAGAGTTTGAAAGAACCTAAATTATGGTAGATATAGGTAGGAAAGCAATGATACACCCAAAACATTTGTGGAACCCGAACAATTTGATAACTCAATCGCCTGATCATAAGACTGGGGTTGTATATTGAATATATAACACATATGTACCTTCAATTTCAACGTGTTTACTGTAATTAATGGCACTGAGGTTTGAAAAGAAAATACAAAGTTAAACTGAAATACATAGATATACAGACTTCAGTTCAGCCAAGTAACCATAGAGAAGCATTGTAAATAAATATACCAACATGAAAACATGAATCATAAAATTTTACGCAAAGTTATGGATAAGCATAAACATGACAACAAAAAGAACTAAGAGCTTACTATGCTTCATTGGTAAAGGCAATTTGATAAGAGTTAAAAGTACTGGGTAAATTGCGGAAATGAACTAACGTGCAACTTCAAACAAAGGGCATAATACTTAGTTAGTTACTCAGTAACCAAATATTAAAATAAGAATAATATTCAGTACATAAGTATCACTTTTTTCAATAACCTGTATCAGCATTCTTCAACTTTAAATCTCAAGAATATCCAATGATTTCTAATGTTCAATAATATTATTAGGAGAGATAAATTTGATCATATTTTCACCTTCTTACTTTACTCCTATTCTCTCTAAAACATCAGTATGATACTCGATACATTTGCAGAACAGATATTACAATGGTAAATATACATCAGAGAAATTTTATCAGATTTTTCTCATTAATTGTACACAAAAGATACAACTATGTAACTTCATATTACTCATCAAGCAAACTCCGAACGTCTACCATTCATATTATTTACCTCTAAACAGTAGAGAACTATTGGGGGCAGTTAGAATCTTCCAATTTTAACCGATTCCCGGGATAATTCATGCCCGGATTGATCCTCATACTTTGCTGCAGTTAAATAAACGTTGATCAGTCTGTAATGTTGACCTCAAAAAATCTAAGCTTATGTTTCCGAAAAACAACCACTGTTAGTGTTTAGAATGGACCCTATAAATCAGAGGTGCTGTTTCTTTCTAATCAGAAATTGGCATGCAGATTCGATACATGATAAACAAATGAATTTACTCATCTTTCCAGCCGGAGTGAAAGCCACGCGTTAGTTCGCATAATCAGACGTAATAGATGATGAGTTTGCTATCACTGTCACACCCCCAAGTGATCTATTCTAACCTTCAGTATGAAACATTTCCCTGGCCTTTGTAGTAATTGTATCGTTCGTGTAAGTAACCTTGAGAGATGTGATATCAGGTATGTCTGTAGATTGACTTGCATCTCTTTTTTGTTTAGGGAAACTGCGTCACCATCATTCTGTGATACAGTTTACTACCAAACTCTAGTAATTTGCGTAATAGCTTCATTTTTAATATTAATGTCTTCCATCCACTACTAACAGGTTCACAATATACTTATGAAGTAAACGATTCGCACTCAGTCTTTCGAATTTACATTGTCTCAATATGACAAGTTGGCAGCGAACATACGAAGTTAAATGGAATGTATATTTCACCGACTTAATTATCGTCGGATCATAGTGTAGTCAAATCGTTAATAAAGTTTACCAAACTTTCAGTCAGTCAAAAAATTTGCTTCTAAGATCTTCGCCGATGATATACACGAGGAGTATCGTCTCTCAAAATTTTGTGAAACAAACTGCACATGTAAGTAGGGAATGCACAGTGATTTGATGTACAAGTGATATTTGATTGTTATTGTTTATTACTGTGACTCTTGTGACATTATGAATTAACTCCTATTCAGCATAACCGCTCAGATCAATTTTGTAACTAGTTTTCTCAGTAGAAAGTAAAAACGGTTCACGGTTATAAATGCGAGCCAAGAACGAAGTTAAAATGATGCTTGGTTGAGATTTACATCTATTATTACTTGGGTTTTTTTCCGTGTGGACGAGCAATTGGTGATAAAGTCGTGTATGAATAAACTCAAGATTATAACGTAGTTCGGTTGATTGTCATTTTTTCTGCTCTCCGTGCACAGACCTCTGTTGCTTAAATATATAAGATTTTGCGCCTAATTAGCGTTCATATTTATCAACGGCATGTACATACATTTCTCCGTCATATGTGATTCGGTTGATGCATTCTATCTTGTATCGGTGGATCTTGCGTTTTCATTTTTGTATAATGGAATTAATGCTTCAAAAGCTGCTGCTACGCTGGCCGCATTCATCTACATTATCTCTTGGGAGCGGCATACAAGCTCTAGATTACCTGTGAAGTCCAAATCGTCTAGCTGCAACCAAGCTGCTTAATGCGCTTTGTGCTTACCTCCAGATTTTTCAGACATCATAATCCAGTTGATCGCCAGTAGAAACTGAAAGGCTAAATGTAAACAACCTTACAATACTGACTCCAGTCCAGTCAGTTGCAACGCAGAGATTCGCACGTTCGTACATAAGTTCAGGTTACCATACCACATTACCATAGAGACGCAAATGTCAAATCAAATCCCATAGTGATAAAGATAGTAGAGGTATTAATGGTAATGAAGAAGAATAGGGTTCGAAGATTTTATTCAAGAAGTATAACACAGTGAGATAAGGTTAGACAGACAAAGGTAGAGGTGCTGACGAATCCAGAAGATTAGCGTTTGAGAGAACACAACGAATGGATGCACTCGCGCCATTGCAAACGATTTTGAGCCATGTCATTCAGGGCTTCTAACCATCGGTAACTGTCTGGCGGACCCCAACGAGGTAGCCTACATCTACCAATATGACCCAGTCCACTTGTCAGTGACTTCATGGATTTGTGCCATGTTTTGGTCTGGCCGCCCCTAGCTTTCGTCCAACCTACTCCTACACCACAAAACATAGCTCGTCGAGGCAGTCAGTAGTCAGGCATTCATAACACATGTCCCAACCACCTCAAATGTTACAACACTTCATCTATTGATCTGCCATCCTTACTTAGTACTCATTTCCTAATGGCAGCATTGCTTACTCGGTAACCCCACGATATACGAGCATTACTTCGGAGTCACCTATGATCGAATACTAGTAACTCATGAATATCTTCTACCCTCAACGGCCATGTTTCGCATCCATATAGCGAACCACCGCGCAGTACACCCGTACCTTGGTTAGCAAACGGATATCTCGCCTACGCCATAAACGGCGTAAATTGGCAAAAGCAAATCGAGCCTCCTATATCCGTGCTGAGATTTCCTCAGTCACCAGTCTTACAGCGCTGACAAAACTCCCCAGATTCGTAAAGCTGTCTAGACGCTCCAAAACTTCACTCCCTATCACTAGTTCAGGGGCCGATGCAACCGATCTCGAAGTAATATTTTTCATTTCGACGTTGAGAACCGAATCCCGAACATACTTGCATTCTTGCTTAGGGTAATCAGAAGACAGCATTATGTCAGGGTATTCACCGAATAGAACTACATAATCGGCATAATCCAGATCACTAAGCGACCATCCTGGTGGACGGTCAATCACTCAATCCGATGGCTCAAAATCGTTTGCGATGGCGCAGGTGCATTCGTTCTTTGTGTTCCCTCAAATCCTAACCTTTGGACTTCCTCACCACCTTTGCTTTTGTTTTCTTCTTTTTAAGTCTATTTCACTAGACTCTACTTCTTCAATAATATCTTTTAATCCTAACCTCTACGATTAATGCTAATACCTTTCTTTACTACCTCTACTACTGTGGGATTTGAATTGACAATCACATCTCTGTGCTAATGTGGTATGGCAACTTGAACTGATGTACCTACGTACGAAGTTCTACGTCGCTATTGATTGATTGATTGGTATTATTCAAGAAGTAGAAACTAGTGAAATAGACTTAAAACGATAAAGTGATGAGGAAGGATGCCTAAATGTGTGTCTGTGTTCCAGGACCTGTCGTAGTGTGAATATGTGGTCTATACAGCCACGTCCAGGTCTAAAACCAGCCTGGTTTTCTCTAGTCTGCTCTTCACGAGCTTTCGTTAAGCGTCGAAGTATCATTGAGGCCAATATTTTAGATACTATATTAGTTAGACGTATTCCCCTATGATTGTCACAAGAAGACTTGCGTCCTTTCTTATAGATTGGGACAGTCAGTGGTTGAGACCACTCGGATGTGATTACATCCAGTTCCCAGATTCTACCTAAGATCTCAGTCAACCTAGCTGCTAAAACTGGACCACCATCCTTAAATATCTCAGGGGTCAGTCTATCAGGACCTGCAGCTCGCCCTCGCTTCAGATTTCCTAACGCTTTTTCAACTTCATTAAGACTGGGGGAACTTACGTCGATTTGCCATTCAGGATGACTTGAGATGGTGGGTAACTGAAGAGTGGCTCGAGGCCAGTTGAACTGATCCCTAAAATGTTCTGCCCATCGATCCAGTCTCCTGGATTGAGAATGGATAATGAGACCATCCTTTTCCGAAATAGTCTCACTCACATTTGGGTTCCTAATACCGGTTTTCTTGATAAGGCGGAAAAGTTGTCTAGTGTTGCCTATCGCCGCTGCCTATTCAATCGCTTTTGCTTTCGCCACCCACCACTGTTCACGGTCGTTACGTAGGCTTTTAATCAGTCTGCGCCTAAGCTGACTTCGTTCTTCATCATGTTCAGAGCCAGGTGGGATGAGTTTACGAGCATCCATCAGTTCGGTAGATGCTACAGAGATCCACGGCTTCATCCTAGGCTTATGGTTTACCTTACTAGAAGATATCACTGCTGTTTCCACAGTCTCTTCGATATCATTCCAACCTGCTTCCGGATGGTAATTGCTTACATGGTTACCTAACTCTCTTTCTAGTTGCTCCTGAAATATATTCTTAGCTTTATTATCATTAAGTAAAACCCTAAGAGGCTTCCATACGGTGTATTTCCTACGTCCGGTAAGTCGTAAACAAATACGAGCTTGCACTAGAGCATGATCTGAATGTAGACATGTGCCCCAGAACGAGCTACAGTCCTCTATCGAACCTCTTCCATCGGTGGCTGATGGTGATGTGATCTAGTTGGGTCCAACGTTGAGACGACTTCGGGGGTCGCCAGGTCAAGAGATGCTTTTCCTTATCCCTAAAGATAGTGTTTGCTAGAAATAGGCGGTTATCTGAGCACAGTTGTAACAGACGGTCCCCATTATCTGTTGTTTGATCCAGGAGACCATAAGGTCCACCTAGGTCCGTACATTAAATGCTTCAACATTTAATTTAGAACGAGGTTCCGGGAGACCATGAATAACGTTTTGTGAACTCGCATCGCTTGCATTAGCGGTGCAGTATGACAAAGGAATGTGAGAAGAGTTAGTCGCGGAGATAAGAGAGATTTTAGTGCGTATAGGAAGGATTTGATTGTGATCAAAATGATCTCATGTGCTGTTTTGGGTATGAGGGTGGATGTCACTTCCCGGCTGCCCTCACCGTGGAAGGGTGTTTCTTGAGGAACCTGAAAGAGAAGGTAGATTAGTGTTGGTATTAGAGACCTGAGAGCGTGACCGCAGAGTACAAGGGACAACTGCTTGAGGCCGGTCACGCACGGCCTTTTTATGAAGGGTTTTTTGAGTATTTGTTCCGCTCTTAAAAGGCCTTAGTGGGCAACCCTTACCACCGGAGACAGAAATCCGTGAGGTAAGGTGAGGTGTGACATTTTTAGGGTAGACCTTTTCTAACCCTTACTTCGCTGCATATTCTGGCTGTCTGAGGGAGACACCTTATTGCTCTTACACTGCTACGCAGTCAGCAGTAGGACTTCGCCCTCAGACTTTGAGTAGCTGCTTTATTCTCATCGTTCTCCAATCAACCTGCATGACATGATAGAACCTTCAGGAATTTATGTTCCAGCCATTGTAGTTCGATTGGGTCATCACGATAGGCAAACCCGAACACGACGTCAAGGTAACACCTACGGACGGATTACAATACTGAAGGGAGCATGATATCCGATTTATAACCACAGGTAGCTATTATAGAAGCATTTAGGTGCTTGTGAAACCTCTTTTGCATTCCATTTCCCTTAACGTGTTAAGCTATGGTTCGAGGTCGCTTGCCACTGAAAAACTCTGTTAGCCATTGAAACATGATTTTCGAAATGTGAACTTCTCTTTGTGGTAATACATGTTGGAACTCCGAAATCAGCAATCCAGTGATTCACTAATATCATTACCGTCTCCCTGTTCTAATATCCTTCAATGAGATGACTATAGGCTCCTTGTGCTTGTTACCCCTATTGGAGCATAGGCTGCCGACGAGCACTCTTCAACCTTTTCTATCCTGTACTTTCCTTTACAGTTCTACTCAAAAGTTGTTTATTATTTTCGTGCTGATATCGAATTCTATACATAATATATTCTTTGGAATTCTTTTCCATTGTCCCTGATGATTCCGATTGAGGGATTGTCTTGTGACTCAGTTGGATGCTCTCCACAATGTGTGTCCTGTCCATGTTCAGCGCTTCTTCCTTATTTCTTCTTCAGCTGGAATCTGATTTGTTCTCTCCAACAGTGTGTCTGAACTACGGATCAGGAGTATGTTCAGTAAACAAGAGCAAATAAACATCAGAATCTTTTGAACGATTGCTTTCGTCTTTCTACCACTTTCCTTTCTATGAAAGGGAACTCTCTAGAAATTTGTATAGAAGATTCTGACTTTGATGTAGGTCGGTGGTTGTTAGATGTTGCTCAACTGTAGAAGTATAGCCCTTTCTTTGCTAATCTCCAAGTTTGGCGGTCTAACAACACTCTGTTGAAGACTGTTCATCGTATTGAGAGCAGAGTAATTCCTCTTTACTTTTCACACTTTCTGAGAGATCCTTTCTATGTATATTGATGAGGTATCCTTACTGCCGTTACCGCGATGCCTGCTTTCAATGACTCACCCAGAGTGCTGTCTAGTCTTGCCGATTTACCACTCTTGATTTGTCTGGTGATCATGTTGACCTCTTCAGCTGTGGGTGAGTCAACATCAATTAGGAAGCCCTTATGTTCTGCTTCGATGTTGAGTGGATCCGGCGGAGTCGGTCCAGTCGAAAGCTCTTCAATGTGCTCTACTCATGTGTTTCTCTAGTTTTCGATGTCGGTGATTGGCTTGCCTTTCTTGCTCCTCATTGCTCGTTCCGGCTTGTCACAATTTCCAGCAAGCTTCGTCATTTCTTCTAGTTGTCTCATATTTCCTTCTCTCGCAGCTTTTTCAGTTATGTTGGCTAGATGTTCCATACATTTCTCTTCGTCAGCTTTATTGGTCCTCCTCTCCCATGCTTTGGATTTCTCTGTTCTTGTTCGGCTGAGATCGATGGCTGCTTTCGTGCAATTCCTTTCTCGAATCTCACCCACTGTACCACCAGAGATCCATTCTTTGTGATGGTGATTCTTGTGGCTAAAGCATTACCGTACGCTACAACTACTGTCCGTTTGATTCCATTCCAGTTTTCCTCCATGACAGTTGCCTCTTCACTGAACAGATCGTGAAAGGCTTGAAACATGATCGTAAGAGAACTTTCTTGAATTCGTTGCATTTGTCAGTATCTATATAGATGGTCTAAAGCGGAGACTTGGACTTTAATGAGCTGATGTACAGTGGAAAGAGCATTTAATACCAGTTTTTCACAAAAATCTGAAACGCAATGACTGAGGATGAACAAATCATGATTTAACAAAAACTACAAATATTAACTCAGCAGCCACTAAACGTATGGGCATTCTGTTCACTTTGCCGAGCATTCAAATGCTACGACGATGATAAGTTCTGGGTTTTACACCTCATGTATTTAAAATTTTCCCCCAAAGTATTGCAGCCCAGCAAACAACTTTTACCTGACTAAATATTTTATCTGGTGTTTAGCTTGGGGGAACTAAGTTGTTAACGGATCGTTTTAAGCTCCCTAACAATAAGTGCTTAAGACTCCTTAACCTTTTACCTTTATCTTGCGGAACACCCTGTGTCCTTGTATTGACATTCCCTATCTTAAATAACAATTTGGGTGTTAACACATCTTTTCTTTTCTCTCCTTCGAGAACTAGTGATCATCGATGCCACCGTAAACAGTTTCGAAAACGGTGATCGAATAGACCCAAAACGAGACTACGCCTTTCTCAATGAGCAGCACATAACTAAAACACCGTGCATGAACAAGTAATATCAGCCACGTTACTGAACATTTTCAAGAAAAAGTGGATCTTCAGTGGAAAACAATCTGTAAGGCTCAACATAAGTTCACCAAGCTATTATTGTGAGTAATGTTTAGGTTTTTCAATATATCCGAAACAAAATTCTATCAACCTCTGGGTTCTGAGACCACACTGTCATATTTTCACGTTTACGTTGCTTCTCACTACCGTCATCTTCTGAAGCAGCGGTTCAATTATTCATTTGTTTTGCTTTTCGGGACTGATTACACACGTTACTGTGAAGTCTACCTTGTAATCCAAATTACCTTAGGATTGAAAGCAAACAACCCCAGACTAAAAGACTAAAGCACGTTTGATTTGTATTCATTCGGAAGTAATTGGATTTTGAGTATTGGATTTCAAATTTTCAAGGTTTTAGGAGCTTTCAATCTTCGGGTCACCTCAATGAGTGGTATAGTTGGGTAGGTCTCTTAATCTTGTTTTTATGACTGTTAGAATTTATTCTCTATTTGATTTATAAGTTTTATAGACTTGGGTGTTTTGCTAAGATGTCGGTCACCCAGTAAAGAGTCATCTTTTGTTGAAACACAGTAAATTTACCAAGTTCTCTTTTCTATTCTTGGATAAATCTGCATAATTGAGCACCTAGAAGGATAAAAGGCTATCAATCGATTAAATTTTTAATGGCTTAAATAAATTACTACTTTTCTGATTCTCATCCTTAATACGTATGCTTCAGACAGTTCATTTAATTTAGTTTCCCAAATTTTCCAGAAACAAGACTTACCTGCTCACAATAGTAACTTTCCTGCTAGCATCCTTCAGAATTTTAGGCTACTCTTTGAAACCCTCAACCTTATTCTAGTGCTCCAAAAAACTAAGTCTAAGTATTTTCCTCTCCTTTCGCTTACCTACCATTATTCTGACTCGTTTTATGTTCATCCTTTAATTTCATCCATACGATCACCAGGTCCTGTGACGCTGGACGTTAACTATCAAGCAATAACTATCCAGTCTTCAATATTAAAGACAGATAAATCAACCTAAATTATTCTTTCAACTCATAGTACTGCAAAGATTCAGTCTCATATTAAATGAATTTATAAACAGCGCTCATATAACGTGTTCTGATGGAAAGCTTTGGTAATTCACTACTCGATGCGAGTACGGCCGTTGTTTCTACCTTGACATGGTGGTCTAGATTGCCTATCATGATGACTCAACCAGGCTACGTCGGCTGGAACATATGACCCCATAGAACAGCAAGTCAATATCTGAGGGCAAATTCATACTGCTGACCGTAGACGGTTGTGACAGCAGTAAGGTGTTTCCCATGAACAACCAGCATCTGCAGCGATGCTGACTTCTCACAAGTAAGGAAGAGATTAGGAAAGACCGACCCTAAAAATGTCACACCACCTTACTTCACGGATTTCCTTCTCCGACGATAAGGCCACTTGAAGAGCGGAGCTAACACTCCAAAATCTTCCGATAAAAAGGCCGTGCATGACCGGCCTCAAGCAGTTTTTCTTCGGACCCTAAGGTCTCTAAGACTAACACTAATCTAACTTCCCCTTTATGTACCTCCAGAAACACTCTTCCACGCTGTGAGTAGCCGGGAAGTGACATCCGCCCTCATACACGTAACCGCCGCTAATGCAAACGTTTGGAATTCACGAATCAATCAATCAGTAGCAACGCAGAACTTCGTACGTACGTACATCAGTTCATGTTGCCATACCACGTTAGCACAGAGATGAAACTGTCAATTCAAATCTCATTGAAGTAGAGATAGTAAAGATATTAGCAGTAGTTGGAGAAGTTAGGATTGGAAGATATTATTTAAGGGTTAGGGACGGCCAGACCAAAACATGGCAAAAATTCGGGAAGTCACTGACAAGTGGACTGAGTCATGTCGGTAGGTGTCAAATACCTGGTTGGGGTCCACGAGATGTTAGTAATCGATGGTTAGAGACCTGAATCACATGGCTCAAAATCGTTTGCGATGGCGCAGGTGCATTCGTTCTTTGTGTTCCCTCAAATCCTAACCTTTGGACTTCCTCACCACCTTTGCTTTTGTTTTCTTCTTTTTAAGTCTATTTCACTAGACTCTACTTCTTCAATAATATCTTTTAATCCTAACCTCTACGATTAATGCTAATACCTTTCTTTACTACCTCTACTACTGTGGGATTTGAATTGACAATCACATCTCTGTGCTAATGTGGTATGGCAACTTGAACTGATGTACCTACGTACGAAGTTCTACGTCGCTATTGATTGATTGATTGGTATTATTCAAGAAGTAGAAACTAGTGAAATAGACTTAAAACGATAAAGTGATGAGGAAGGATGCCTAAATGTGTGTCTGTGTTCCAGGACCTGTCGTAGTGTGAATATGTGGTCTATACAGCCACGTCCAGGTCTAAAACCAGCCTGGTTTTCTCTAGTCTGCTCTTCACGAGCTTTCGTTAAGCGTCGAAGTATCATTGAGGCCAATATTTTAGATACTATATTAGTTAGACGTATTCCCCTATGATTGTCACAAGAAGACTTGCGTCCTTTCTTATAGATTGGGACAATCAGTGGTTGAGACCACTCGGATGTGATTACATCCAGTTCCCAGATTCTACCTAAGATCTCAGTCAACCTAGCTGCTAAAACTGGACCACCATCCTTAAATATCTCAGGGGTCAGTCTATCAGGACCTGCAGCTCGCCCTCGCTTCAGATTTCCTAACGCTTTTTCAACTTCATTAAGACTGGGGGAACTTACGTCGATTTGCCATTCAGGATGACTTGAGATGGTGGGTAACTGAAGAGTGGCTCGAGGCCAGTTGAACTGATCCCTAAAGTGTTCTGCCCATCGGTCCAGTCTCCTGGATTGAGAATGGATAATGAGACCATCCTTTTCCGAAATAGTCTCACTCACATTTGGGTTCCTAATACCGGTTTTCTTGATAAGGCGGAAAAGTTGTCTAGTGTTGCCTATCGCCGCTGCCTATTCAATCGCTTTTGCTTTCGCCACCCACCACTGTTCACGGTCGTTGCGCAGTCTGCGCCTAAGCTGACTTCGTTCTTCATCATTGTCAGAGCCAGGTGCGATGTGTTTTAGAGCATCCAGCAGTTCGGTAGATGCTATTGAGATCCACGGCTTCATCCTAGCCTTATGGTTTACCTTACTAGCAGATATCACTGCTGTTTCCACAGCTTTTTGTTATCATTCCAACCTGCTTCCGGATGGTAATTGCTTACATGGTTACCTAACTCTCTTTCTAGTTGCTCCTGAAATATATTCTTAGCTTTATTATCATTAAGTAAAACCCTAAGAGGCTTCCATACGGTGTATTTCCTACGTCCGGTAAGTCGTAAACAAATACGAGCTTGCACTAGAGCATGATCTGAATGTAGACATGTGCCCCAGAACGAGCTACAGTCCTCTATCGAACCTCTTCCATCGGTGGCTGATGGTGATGTGATCTAGTTGGGTCCAACGTTGAGACGACTTCGGGGGTCGCCAGGTCAAGAGATGCTTTTCCTTATCCCTAAAGATAGTGTTTGCTAGAAATAGGCGGTTATCTGAGCACAGTTGTAACAGACGGTCCCCATTATCTGTTGTTTGATCCAGGAGACCATAAGGTCCACCTAGGTCCGTACATTAAATGCTTCAACATTTAATTTAGAACGAGGTTCCGGGAGACCATGAATAACGTTTTGTGAACTCGCATCGCTTGCATTAGCGGTGCAGTATGACAAAGGAATGTGAGAAGAGTTAGTCGCGGAGATAAGAGAGATTTTAGTGCGTATAGGAAGGATTTGATTGTGATCAAAATGATCTCATGTGCTGTTTTGGGTATGAGGGTGGATGTCACTTCCCGGCTGCCCTCACCGTGGAAGGGTGTTTCTTGAGGAACCTGAAAGAGAAGGTAGATTAGTGTTGGTATTAGAGACCTGAGAGCGTGACCGCAGAGTACAAGGGACAACTGCTTGAGGCCGGTCACGCACGGCCTTTTTATGAAGGGTTTTTTGAGTATTTGTTCCGCTCTTAAAAGGCCTTAGTGGGCAACCCTTACCACCGGAGACAGAAATCCGTGAGGTAAGGTGAGGTGTGACATTTTTAGGGTAGACCTTTTCTAACCCTTACTTCGCTGCATATTCTGGCTGTCTGAGGGAGACACCTTATTGCTCTTACACTGCTACGCAGTCCGCATTAGTGTAGTGAAGGAGAACACAGGTGAGGGCAACCGAATTGTATTTAACGAAAATTACAGTTACTCAGTAAAATAGGAAAACCATATCGTAACCGTTAATTTGCAAATCTTCAATTCATTGTCTGATATTTCACTATTCATGCGTTTCATACAAATTCCATTGTGTTCCCACTTTTCTTTTCTTGATCTTCCCCCATCTTCTTCTGCAAGACATTACTTTTACACTCGCGTCATATACTACTTATAAGTAGCGCGCACCACAGTAGGACTTCACCCTCAGACCTCGCAATGCTCGCCATTGCAAACTGATCCTAGTAATCTACGATTTAGGCTTGGAGCATCTCTTATATGCGATGGGTCTAAGATGGATACGCGTCTTGTGAAGCTATTTGTTATGCTCATCGCATTACACCCCTTCCTCAGAAAATAATTGGTCTGTCCACATTTATAAGTATAGCTAACCATTGTATGCAAATTGAATGGTTAAAAATCGAAACAATGCATCAAATACTAACCAGTATTGGATCGATTAAAATGCAGTACCTTAAAACGATTTTGAATAAAATTTCAACGACTAACCGAAATAATTGAAATTAAAATAGACCGAAAATTCGTTTTCAACAATAAATACACAAAAACAAAGTTAATCCACTGCAAGTGTGAATATCACTGTCCTTTCTCAAGACGCGCTGTTGCTGATTTTATTAATGTATTAGCATGAGCAGTGAAACCGTCAGATATTAGGACTTACCGTATACTTCGGTCAACTGATTTATATAGTTTGGGAACAACCTACTCACTTTAGTCCCACTACATTCTAACTCCAGTCAGCCGGTACCAACGTGGAGCACCTGCATCGTTGTGATCGATTTCCAGTTGTCATTCAACATTTACAACCGCTGAGTGGTTACCGCATGGACCCAACCAATGAGATGGTTTCATAATTACGTTTTCGTAGGTTACTAGTTTTCGATCGTAGGTGTCTCCAAAGCATTACTCGAATATCCTGGGACCACCGAGTAAGCTATGCTGTCGTTTAAAAACGAATACTAGGTAAGGATAGCAGGTCAATAAATGAAGTATTGAAACTTCATCAGTTGAGATGGCTCGAATATGTGTTACGTATGTCCGACCACAGATTGCTTAGACGAGCTATTTTTCGTGGTGTAGGGGTAGGCTGGAAGAAAGGTAGGGGCGGCAAAACCGAAACATGGCACAAATTCATGAAGTCACTGACAACTGGGTTGAGTCATGTTGGTAGATGTAGGCTACCTGGTTGGGGTCCACGTGATGATAGTAATCGATGGTTAGAGATCTTTAATGACATGGCCCTAAACCGTTTGCAATGGCGCAGGTGCATCCATTCTTTGTGTTCTCTGAAATCTTAAGCTTCTGAATTCCTCATAACCGTTTTTTCTCATATTTTTAATCGATTTCTCTGGGGCATACATCTCGAGTGATATATTCGATCATTAATCCATTCGATTACTGCTAATACTTGTACTACCTTTACTACTATGGGATTTGAATTTGCAATTGCATCTCTGTGTTAGTGTGGTATGGCAACATGAACTGATGTGCATACGTACGTACGACGTTCTACGTTGTTATTGACCGACTTAGGGTAATCCCAGTATCTATTTGTGTGTTACTTAAAAATTATCCTCAAAGCATGTTACTACCGCTAATAAGGTATAAATGGCCTAACTAAAACATGGTGTCAGTCTATAGAGTCACTGTCTTCACCTAAACCTTGTAGCAGATGCAGGTTACCTTGTTGGGGTCCGTGTGATCGGTGGCTAAGGACTTTGGGTAGCATGACTCGAAATCGCTCTCAATGGCAAAATGCATTTACTCTATTTTCGATTTCAGCATTCCTCCCTACGTACTTTTCCACAATGTCTTTTCGAACCTTACTGTCAATGAATCGTCTTCCTCACTGTCCTTGCCACTGTATTATTACTACCTCTCTGTATTCATATTGTCAGTTTCATCTCATGCTAATGTAGTATGAAAACTTGGACCAGAGCACATTTATGCCAAGCTCTGTATTGATGATGACTTACTGCTTTCAAGGGCACATTAGCTGTTTCAGAGTTTCATACTTTTACCTAAAAAAGCTCTAAAAATTAATGGTGATATATATATATATATATATATATATATATATATATCGGTGAGTTAAGATCTACGTATATCTATGAAAAGAGATTCTGGTTTTCTTTACAGATCAACTCGTGGTCTTGGAAGTAAGTATGGACTCGGCGGCAGTTCTCTGGGGTCATCCAGTGAGGTCGTACAAATACGTTTACAGGGTGATTCTTATCCCAGTAGCGATTCCTTGGGAGTATCTGGAATGGATATGTTTGGTGGACTATCCGGTTATGGTGTTTCTTCCAGTGTACCCTATTATGTTGACTCAGTGGGTGGAAGTGTGTGTCTAGGTGGGGGAATGTTGGGATTCGATGATGAAATCGGTCACTCAGGACTAGATAGTAGTGAACTTGTTCAGTTATTGGGAGGAAGTCAAGCTATCGCCCAGCTCTCAGATAGTCAGTTAGAAGAACTTGGTCGTGCACAATTTACTATCGTGGATCCTAGGACTGACAGTGAACTAGGTAAGTTTGTTAGGTATATTATGGTAGTATATCACCCACCTTCTCTTCGGTCGTTAAATTTCCGGTTTGTCTAAACGTTTCGTGATTTTACTCTTGACAGATGGACAAATCCAATGGAAAATTTTCTGACCAAATCTAATTTCTAATTTATCCATCTTGATTGTTCAAATCCATTTTTAAAAGCGAAGTTTCATAGCTAAGTGGGACAATCATACAATGTTCTTAATGATAAACAAGCATGATTGATCTCACTGGTTCTGTACATTTATTAGATTAATTCTCGAATTCAGGTTATTCAAATCACATTCGTATCTGACACCTTTTTAGGCTAAATTTATTTAGGGTTGAAACTGATGTTCTCGAGATTCACAGTTTTCATAAGAATTGCACAGTTAAGGTTAGCTGACTTATCTAACCCATATTACGATTTATTAATTATGGTTATTTGAAGATCGGCATAGTTAAAACGAATTACATCTTTGATATGTTGGTCTAGCTTCTTAAAACAGATAGTGTATCTGTTAAAGTTACTAACTAGAAATTTCTCTACCATCTCAATTCCTGTTAAACTGATTGTTGAGAACAGTCTATCTATCTAGATGATGAGACCTTGATAAAAACTAAGCATATGACTAGTGTCCAGGTGTACTGTTCTCACTTGTAGCTCCATCAACTGCGAATGGCTTAGTTCTTTGCCTTATAATTTCATTTGTTTTACCAATCTCGACATCAATTTAACAGACTATGGATATTTATATCGACATTTAGATTAACTTTTTAAAGATCCAACAATCCGTTCTATGCGCAAATTGTTTAAGTTTTATTGCTTGGATAATAGGCCGTATACAAGTTTATATACTGGAGTTAGTACCATAATAATAGTATGGTATTTCACCGATTAAGCTTTTAAGTTTGACTTCATAAAAGCCAACAATATTTTATTTATTATTATCAGTGATATACAAGTGATGTTTTAGATTTACAAACTATGATTCTTACTGTATTTACCGGAATGAAATAAACCTATAATTATCTAATTACATCTCAATTTAATGCTATTTTGGTATTTTCATACTTTAAAGCATACAATCTTTCAAGCAGTCGCGGTGGAGATGTGGAGATGTCCAAGCACACTCAACTCACAGTTAAGTCGTAGCTTCAAACATTCCTTACTTTCGCAACAAAGTGTTACCACTAATATTCATGAAATAACTGTAACTCAAAACCTACTACGACAGCTTTTACTTTACTAGTGTGCTGGATAAATTGTGTTAATAGTTAGATGGTTGTAAGCAGTCGACTGAAAGCCAAGGATCTTAGTTTCGCGCTTACAATAGCGAGTCTTTTAGACTAATGACCATTTTATAACTTGGTCGGCATAATTCAATCAGCACTAAAAATCAGGGATACTTCAAATACTACTCAGTTATCAGCTAGTATATAATTGATAAATTCGATTTTATTTTAGCCTGGGTTATTATAGTGAAGTTAATGTTTCGTGTATTTAATCTCATCATCTTAGCTGTGTTTCACAATAATCACAATAAACATATGAATATGTTCACCTTTTACATTCATTTGCAGCAAATTGTCCACTAACTTTATCAGTAGAAGAAGATGATCGACCTCTAGATGAAGATGAAATCTTGTATGTAACCAAAACAAAATGTTTAGATCGTGTTCGTGTCCTGTCTGTGCCAGCTTCCGGATATACGAGTATAAATACTGGTGATCTTGTTAAATGCATCAATTTACGTGAATTGGATTTGTCAGAGAATGCATTACGTGTTTTCCCTAGACGTCTGCATTTACCACGGTTAACAAAACTCAGCATTACAGGGAATAGATTTATCCACCTCCCATTGTTTGAACAATTTCCCAAACTAACTCGACTGAATATAGACGACAGACTAAAACAAGTATGTCTGGTATAAAAAAAATCTTCCTCTGTGATTTTTTTTCCTTTGTAATCTGTGCTTAATTTTTCAGAATAAAGATTTATATTCTGATTATAAATACGACACTACTATTGACGCTCCTACCAGTACTAATACTACTATAATTACGGACAGATAAAAGTAGTGTATGATGGGAATAGATAATGGAATTCTCATTGGTAGATAGAAATGCAGAGAAGAGGAAACTGGAGAGCAGTCAGAATGCGGACAAGAAATAATAAACTGTAAGACGTTAAAGGTCAACCCCGAGATTTGCAAATGGTACATTTAATGTAATGTTTTACGAAGACTAATTTTTCATAATGCGAATTCTTCTGCTTACGTCTTCGTTCTTTAGGCTATTACTACTGCTAATACCAATAATAGTAATAGCTAACTCTGGCGCTTAATTTTTTTAAAGTATGAAATCTTCAGCACCAAAATACACATTATTACACCTGGTACTAAAATACTAAGTTGACTTTTAAAAATCACACGCTTATGTTATCCTGTTAAATTTTTCAATCTTTAATCTATCAAAAAGGAAATTTAATTATACAAATCGTGTCATTCACTCTCCATCGCATATTTCATAATTTTTCGCTTAATCATTTGTTGATTTTCTATTGTAGTTACTAAACCCTCAAATGTTGGTCTATTTTTGTCCGAAACTTAAGTATATTAATGGAATATATTTTGAAGAAACACCAACTGATTTCACAGTTCGTATTATTCACGAAGCACGATCAATGATTGAACCTATTGTAAGTTACGATTTCATAATATGAATTGTTGTGATTATTATTATTATTCTTGTGTTTCACATCTAGTCCTAGATAAATAACCATCTTTGTGACTGAATTAATTGACATCAAAGATAATAACGCGTTCGTCAGTTATTTATTATTTCAAAATCACAGATTCAAATAATCATCTCAACTTTTCAAAAAGGCACAGCTAATCTAATGTGAAAGAAATCGACCGGGCCCGACGTAAATAACACCGGAAATCTTTAAGGATAGTGGTCCAGTTTAAACAATTAGATTGACTGAGATGCTACATAGAGTTCGAGAGCTGGCTGTAATCCAATCTAATTAGTTTCAATTGTCGTAGTCTTTAAGGATGGACAAGTCTTCTTATGATAACCACAGTGGAATCAGTTTACCTAAAATAGTTTATAGAATGTAGACTTCAGAAACCGTTCGACACTTAACACATCATTTTTGCTAGTGTAGAAGTAGGTTTGAAGATCAGTCAGTGACGACGTAGAACTTCATACGTATGTACGTACACCAGTTCATGTTGCCATACCACACTAACACAGAGATGCAATTATAAATTCAAATCCCATAGTAGTAAAGGTAGTACAAGTATTAGCAGTAATCGAATGGATTAATGATCGAATATATCACTCGAGATGTATGCCCCAGAGAAATCGATTAAAAATATGAGAAAAAACGGTTATGAGGAATTCAGAAGATTAAGATTTCAGAGAACACAAAGAACGGCAAAAGCCAACCGAGCCTCCTACATTCATGCTGAGATTTCGCTAGTCACCAGGCCATCAGCACTAATGAGGCTCCCCAAATAAGTGAAGCGGTAAACATGATCAACTACTTAGCTCCCTATCACTAGTTCAGGTGCCGATACAAGCCAGTCTTGAACAACATTTTGCATTTCGACGGGGGAAAACCGCATCCCGAACGTGCTTGCATTGTTGCTCAGGGTAGTCAGAAGACTGCATTTTGCCAGCGTGAATATCTGGTCTATACAGCCACGTCCAGGTCTGAAACCAACCCGGCTTTCTCTAGTCCGCTCTTCACGAGCTCTAGTTAGGAGTCGAAGTATTATTGAGGCCAACATTTTAAACACTATATTAGTTAAGCTGATTCCTTTGTGATTACCACAGGAGGACTTTTTTCCTTACTTATAGACTGGGACAATAAGGGATTAAGTCCAGTTGGATGGGATTACGTCCAGTTGCGAAATTCTACCTAAGATCTCAGTCAATCTAGCTGCTTAAACTGGACCACCATCCTTGAAATTCTCAGGGGTCAGTCTATCAGGACGCGCTTCTGATTTGCTATACCAATCTCAACTCCAGTAAGATTCGGAGGATCTACATCAGTTTACCATTCAGATTGACTTGAGATCGTGGGTAACTGAAGTGTGGTTGAAGGCCAGTTGAACTGACCCTTAAAATTCTCTGCCCATCGGTCCAATCTCCTGGATTGAGAATGAAAAATAATTACATCCTCTTCCGAGAATGTTTCGCCAACAGTCGGATTCCTGGTACCAGTTTCCTTGATAAGTCGGAACATTTGTCTACTGTTACCTATAATCACTACCTTTTCTATCGCTCTTTCATTCGTCACCCACCAGTATTCGCGATCAGTGCGTAAACTTTTTGTTAGCATGCGCGTAAGCTGACTCCGCTCCTCATCGTACTCAGAGCCAGGTGGATTGAGTTTCCGAGCCTCGGTCAGTTCAGTAGATGCTATTGAGATCCACGGCTTCTTCCTAGCCTTATGATTAACCTTACTAGCAGATACTACTGGTGTTTCCAGAGCTTTCTGGATATCGTTCCAAGCTGCCTCAGAATGGGGATCACTTACACGGTCGCCTAACTGTCTTTCTAGTTGTTCCTGAAATATATTCTCAGCTTTGCTATCATTAAGTAGAACACTAAGACGTTTCTGTACGGTGTGTTTCTTACATTCAGTAAGCCTCAAACAAATACGCGCTTGTACTAGAGCATGGTCTGAATCTAAATAAGTGTTCCAGAATGAACAGAAGTCTTCAATGGAGCATTTCGTAGATAACGAAACGTTAGTTTGCAACGAAATATTTTCAACCTAACTTGCCTATTCAAAGATAAAATCCTGAATAAAATATTAAGTAATGTCAAAGTTAAACATCAATTTCACATTCTTTAATCCAAACAATCCAGAAGATCGTAAAGCAACAAACCAAGAAATGTGTTTATATTCAGATTTTTTGATAATTAATGCTCATCGTCTTTAATTTGTCTTTCACTTTCATACAGATGAAGGGCTGTTATATCAAAACTGCATCAGTTCATTAAGTTTCAAACTTTTGATTTGAGCCATGTTGGTTGGCGCTAACTACTAGCTTGAGTTCCACAGGATTATTGTAATCAATGGTTGTAGACTGCGTGGCATGTCTGAAAATTGTTTACAGTACAAATCCATTTGTTTTTCTGAAACCATCTTTACGTCTTGAGTTTTTGAAACTATCCTACACCCTTTTTTTCTACAAGTTGATTTTTTCTTTTCGAATCATATTGTCTATCTCTAATCTTTCCTACTATCACTTACACGGTTACTATTTCTATTACTCTGAAAATTTCACCTGGTTGTGATGATATGATGTGACAACTCGATTTTAGTAAATGAAAAACCATTCTGTAAAAGAATCCATGAAAATAATTCCATTTTACTGTAACGCGGATTCATGACTCATGCATTGACAGGAAAATGTCTACCCACGATCAAAAAAAAGTTGAATAACTAATAAAACTCTCCAAATACAAAAAACAATTATTCGTGCCCTGCTTCCAAGAGTATGGTGCTTACTAGATTACCTTTTTATTCAGTTAATTATATGCTTTTTTGTTTCAGATAAAATCAAAATGGGAAACAGATTTCGCTGATCAGTATCCTTTTGTTAAGAATCGAGAAGAACGTATTTCATTAATTGAAAACATGATGGAGCACATAAAAGAGCGCAATTTTCTGGTCGGTGAAGCCTTAAACAAGTATAAAGATTTATTGGTGAGTGTGATGGTGTTTTTCAGTACAAAGTAATAAATATTTCTCCAATATAATGTCAAATGTTTTGTTCAGTTTTACTTTACAATCCCTTTTTAGTAGCTCTGAGTTTCAGGTCATTAAAACACTGATAGTCGGAGTTTTAGTGATAATATTTCAATATGATAATGTTCCCGCTGTATTCGGTATAATGGCAGTTCCAGGTCAAACCATTTCACTTTTTTGGGGGTACTAGTCTTCCTCACTGATGTGTACCTTCGTTAAAGTGTAAAGGAATATTTATACCATAAGTAACTTACAGTTCCCTATTTTTCGTTTAGTTTTACATGGTAGCTGAAATATATGGCCATTTTATTGTTAACATTAGTCTAGCATGTATTCACTTGATAATCCGAAAATCTCGAAGTTCTTACTTATTAGCAAACATAGCAGTATAGTGTTCTAAATAAACTTTTTAGTGCCGTTTCTAATTTTAGAAATTTCTGTTCTCGATATTTGATACTTTTTTACATAGGTATTCAAACATTATTTCTATCGCCATAACACTATCTTCATAATTATTACGGCTTCTCTCTCGATATCGTTTGCATCATGCTATTATATTTTCGACGACTAGTGTCCTGTTGTTATTTTTTGTATAAATGAGTACACAACATAGCAGTTAAGGTATGGAATCGGTTTCATATACTGGAATTAGTAATATTTGTCACCATATACTAAATCATTATTTCACAGAGTTACAAACCGCTACTTTGGTATTCACTATCAACTATGCCAATTCGTTATATTTTGTTTTCAATTTGTCGTATATTTTTTTTCTCTTCTCTTATCCAGTTGTTTCGTTGTATTGACGAATTTCTACGATCCAAGATATATGATGCCACCGATACGGAATTATTGCATGCAGTTGATTCTCTGGACATTCCTAGACCAATTAAAAATGCAGAGAGTGCTACGACTGTCACTGATGCTACCGCAATTACTTCTGATGTCACAAATAAATTAGTTGCCAAATCAGATGAATCCACCACTAATGAGAATTATCCTTTGACAGAAACCAATGCAAACAACATGACTGATAACTTGTTGATTAATTCAGTTGACGATAACACAATGACTGCCACTAATAACAATGATAATGATGACACTGTTGTTGCTGCTACTATTACTACCACCACTGCTACTATCACTACCCAACATAAAAATATTGATTCGCTACAGTTAAGTACAAAACTATCAGCGTGTGATTTAGAATCTGACGATATACAAGATGATGACGAAGAAGAAAAAGAAGCAGCTGCACGAGCTGCCAGTTAGTTTTAAACTTGATTTTATTTTTTAGCTTCTTAATATATATATATATATATATATATATATATATATATATATATATATATAATATGCGAATCCATGGTTCACTTCTTTCGCGTTACGAATGCCTAACCACTGACTGCCTCGTCGAGCTATGTTTTGTGGTGTAGGAGTAGATCGGACGAAAGTTAGCGGCGGCCAGACCAAAACATGGCACAAATCCATGAAGTCACTGACAAGTGGACTGAGTCATGTTGGTAGATGTAGGCTACCTCGTTGGGGTCTGCGATACCAAAGTCACCAGTGGTTAGAGACCTTGAATGATATGGCTCAAAATCGTTTTCAATGGCGCAATTTCATCCATTCTTCGAGCTCTCTCAAATGCTAATCTTCTGGATTCGTTAGCACCTCTACCTTTGTCTTCTAACCTTATCTCACCTAATTATACTTCTTGAATAAAATCTTCGAACCCTTTTCTTCTTCATTACCATTAATACTTCTACTCTCTTTATCACTATGGGATTTGATTTGACATTTGCGTCTCTGTGCTAATGTGGTATGGCAACATGAACTTATGTACATACGTACGAAGTTCTACGTTGCAACTGACTGAACATAATCCAATCTAAATAATATGATACATGTTAGTAATAAATATAAAAGTAATGACTAATCAATTGTTGTATTACATCCACAGTGTATCATAAATTAATTTTTGGATATTTCAGCAAGTGATAATTTAAAAAAGAATCTTCATAGAAATTTGTTATTCAAATATAAAACTATAGCTAAATGGCATTAGACACTTTATTATTTTGTTAAATAGCTAAATTTCATTGCATTTCATTCTTTTACAAAGCACATATTTTCCATTATTTTAGTAATGATGAATGTATGATTTTCTTTTCTTTTATGTTATAGATGAATGTGCACTGTTTGACGCTACCGACGAATTATTGGGTACACATTTGCCTGATTTACAATTATTAGCTCAAAGTGCTAATCAATTGCAAACTACTTTTTTTGTGGACTCAATGGGTCGTTTACATCAACAGCAAGTACTTCTTACTCCAAATGGTGCTTGTCAATTAGGTTTACAAACTAATGGACTATCAAACTACCAGTTACATTTAGGACGGTCTTTACGTCAGGGTCGTTCTATAGTTATGACTGTTGTTCGTCCACGTGGCATCAGCGGACGCCCAGTGGCTGAATTTTTGCCTGGTGAACTGCGTAATAAGGATTATGTCAAAGGTTACATGGCTTCTGAAATATACAAAAAAGCTGTCAAAGATACTTTAGGTCAAAAAACAACTCCCAAGAAGTAAGTATGATCTTATAAGACTATAATAAACGTGTATATTTATTATTTTAATAAACACCATTGTAGTTTCCTCACTTTTCTTCAATACTACTGATGTCTTTCTTCAATATGTCACAAAATAATAACAGTTTTTAAACACATTGTTCACGTGTATTCTCTAGGTAAACTGTTAGGCAAACTTATTATATACGACTAAATTAATAATGCCTATCATTGAAAAATTTATACCACTAAGAAATTCGTTGTTTTCTTACACGATTCACATTCTATGTAGTGTATATATTTATCGTAGGCAATAAATATAAGCATTTTATCAATATTGTTTTTATTTCAATCCAGTTTAATTCAGTAGTATGTGGTATTTTATGTTCTATTTATAAGGTAAGTTGAAATGTTACCATTTCTCAGATAACTAGTCATTTCAAACGTATCAAATCTAGATTTCATTTACTCATTAAATGTACTTGTAACCTTAAGAAATTTCTTTGTTTTTAAGTTTCAATTTGTTATATTGTTCAGGGATTTAATGATAAACACTAGTATTAACTGCCTCTTTTTTTTCTTGATAAACTAATTAGTAGTATATGAAATCAAAATATTGATTTCAAAGATTTATGGTGTATGATAAAATCAATCATAAATATCACTGATATAATATCTTGTAAAAGTATTATTTTTCTATACAAATTGATATACTAGATATTAATATAGTTATTTGTCTCTCAATTATTAGATAGTCTTCTGTTTAGGCGAAGCATCTTTTCCAGTTTCTTGCATCGAAAAATTTTCTCACTTAGTATAATAGATAAATACGTATACTTTAATCAATAGACTTCTACAGTTACTTTAAACTATGTTGTAATGCTGCTAGTTATGCCTGAAATTTCATCAGTAGTTTAAACAACATGGATTTCTTTAACCACTAATTGGAAAGCTATAAAGTTGAAAAATAGATGGCTGAATATGATTAAATATAAACATTACTCGGTTGTTATTATTTCTGTTTTTTACATGACACATTCTTATAATACTAATTGCTAATTAAGGATGTTAAGTGATATGAATCAATATGAATAGTACTTTTCTACATAATGTACTGTTGCTCTACTTGTTTCTCGTTCATCTATCTTTCTGACCATACGATTGAATATAATCTTAATATTTGGCTTCCTACCTTATCGGTATTTTAGAATAGGTCATCTCATATCTTATTAACTGTTGTGTCATGTTCTACGTGTTGGTTTAAATGGACGTTTGTACACTACATTAGATTAACAGTTAATCATTTCCTAGTGTATTTAATCTCGATAAATATTTTTTATCTGACTATATTTTGATAAACGTATTTATAAATTCTCCATAGACGTTCTGGAACTGGCAAAATTCGAAAATCCGATCAAATTAGTACATCTGCAGGAGAACGTTCTTGGCCTGGATCGACAACATCTAATACGATTCCACTAGGTGAACTTAACACTGAAGTGGATAATACAGGAACAACTACCAAAAGAGTAAATTGCACATCTAACCAGATGGCGAGTTCACGAACTGGATCAAGTCGACCAGGTAAAGTTGAATTTGATGTTGGCGAAGACACAGATGGCGCCACAGGTGGTCTTCCTCCTCGACCGAAGAAACGGAAATCTATGGGAATGCATAGGTAATTTAATTTTTCGTAATGATTTCGTTTTAATCTCCAATCCCGACCGTAGCTGCTACCTTGACGTGATGGTCGGGCTAGCCTATCGTGATGACCCAACCAAGCTATAATGGCTGGAACATATGTTCCTGAAGGTTCTACCATTCCAGGCAGGTTACTGGTTTTCGATCATAGGTATCTTAGAAGCATTGCTCGTGTATCGTGGTACAACCGAGTAAGCAATGCTGTCGTTAGGAAACGAGTACTAGGTAGGAATGGCAGATCAATAGATGAAGTGGTGAAACTTCATCAGTTTAGGTGGTTGGGACATGTGTTGCGTATGCCTAACCACCGACTGCCTTGACGATCTATATTTTGTGGTGTAGGTGTAGGTTGGACGAAAGCTAGGGGCGGCCAGACCAAAACATGGCACAAATCCATGAAGTCACTGACAAGTGGACTGGGTCATGTTGGTAGATGTAGGCTACCTCATTGGGGTCCGCGAGACGAAAGTCACCAGTGGTTAGAGACCCTGAATGACATATCTCAAAACCATTCGCAATGGCGCAGGTGCATTCATTCTTTGTGTTCTCTCAAATACTAAACCTTTTAACTCGTCTTCACTTTATCCTTATCTTTTTAAGTCTATTTCACTAGTTTCTACTCCTTGAATAATATCTTCTAATCCTAACCTCTCCGATTAATGCTAATACCTTTACTACCACTAATACTATTGGATTTGTATGGGGTATGGCAACATGAACTGACGTACGGACGTATGTACGTACGAAGTTCTACGTTGCTACTGATTGATTGATTTAATTTCCAATATTTCTTTAACGTGTATTGTAACAGTGCACTTAATAGTTTTCGCTAAACAATTCCACCTATTTTAACAAAGGGTCCTTATAGCTCACTGGTAATATCATCAACTGGCAGTGCAATCTTCATTCCGACCATTTAAAAAGTCTTTGTTTTGGAGTACTAGAGACACTACCTACTTTCAACTATCTACCATAATTCATCTTCATTGAATAAGTGCCACCTTAGCGTGATAATGCGCTACTCCAGCTCCTACATTCTTTATAACCGTTCTAAATTCACTAAGTATAGCTTGTTAGTATGTCACATAACGTAGCTTTTTTTGAAAAATTACATCATGTGCGGAGGATGGTCGAGAATAGTTCTTGGAATTAAATAATTAATCAAAACAATTAACCAGGATTTATTTTAACAATTAGTTGTTTTGTAATATATGGACGTAATGTTGAACACTAACTTCCTTTTAAGTGATTATTTATTGTCTTATATTTCACTACACATAATCGTAAAATTCAGTCAATCAAAAAAACTTTTCACTCTGCTTTATAACATAATTATCTTATGTATTCACCGAGATTTTACTATAACCTAAAATCTTGAAATTATTGTTCACTTGGTCTGTTAGGTTTCTAAACGATGATATTCTTTTGTATAATTGCGTTAATCAGACTTATATAGGACTTATAACTACTTGTTTCACCTTCTTCTATTCTGTTTAAAACTTTGAAACCAAAGGTAATTCTCTAACTTGGGGAGCATGTGAAATTCAATTGACAGATATTGAAAGCTTGTCATTGGTAAAGCAAGCGACATAATGGATCAGTTCAATTTAATTGACTCTTATAGATATTAACATGTTATTGGTTATTCACCGAAAGACTAATCAGCATTAGAATTATCATGGTACTGGTGATAGTTATTCTGACAGTATTAGAAACTTTCTCCAATCGTATGTGTTTATTTTTATACTCTATTGTTTTGATATTCCCATCTTAGAGAATAATTAAACATTTCATTTCATCATATAGTTTTTTTCTGTTGATATTTTAGAAGCTTAAGAGATCTTTGTTCAGATGCCCCATATTCAGCTGATGCCTATAATAATACTACTGCTAATACAGTTGTTGGCGGTGGTCCTAGATCTGATGCAACTCCAATCGACTATGATCCACTACACTTCATTCGTTGTCATGCAAAGGACAATGATGCAGGAGATAGTGAAACTAAAGTTTGGCGTTGTTTATTTGAACCAAATCCAATGAGACCAGATGAAACAACTCATGTAGTTGCAACTTGTGGTGGTGAATGTGTCTGTTTAATCAATTGTGAAACCGGCAAAGTTATGAAACGTTTTAAACATATGGAAGAGGTAAAAAAATATTTCTTAAAGGATTTGTTTCGATTAATTTTCTAATCGGTTGTAACGTACATCAGTCCAAGTTGCCATACCACAATAGCACAAAGTAATTAATTTTTCAATTCAAGCCCCATAGTATTAGAGGTAGAAGCAACATCATTGTTAATGGAAAAGATTAGCGATTGGAAATGTGAATCAAGAAATTACAAACCAGTGAAATAAATTGAAAGAAAAGAAGTTATGGAGAATTCAGATGCATAGTATATTGGGGAGGACTGAACAACAGATGCATCTGTGTCATTGAAAACGATTATGAGCCATGTTATTCAAAGTATTTAGTTATTAGACGGCTATGTCGCCTACGCCATAAATGATGCAAATTGCGAAAAGCCGATTGAGCCGTCAGACGCCAGGTCATCAGCACTGATGAAACTCCCAAGATAAGTAAAGCGGTCAGCATACTCAACTACTTCACTCCTTATCACCAGTTCAGGTGCCGACGCAAGCCAGTCTTGAATCAACATTTTGCATTTAGAAAAAGAATGTAGGAAGTGACTTGTACTAACGAACACCACTTGAATTAATTAATTGTGATGTCCGTTCGCCTTAAGCTGTCATTCGACCAGTAGCGTTCGAGGAGAGAGCATTGAAGCCACCAATCACTATTACTATATCAGAGCGCTTGACTTTTTACAGAATGTTAAAAAGGTATCCGTAAAACTCATCTTTTAGCTCGTCTGAGCTAAAGTCAGTGGGAACGTAGGTAGAGACAATGAACAGAAAACAGTTAGTGTCCGTATCTTTCCGAGCCCTTACTGTACCGTTTAGTCAGACAGTGCACAGCTGACTGTCTACTGGAATCCATTCTAAGAGATCTTGTTACTCCCTAGGAGTCAATGCTATACCTACACTAATGAGGCCACAGGAAGCAGCAGCATGGCTTCCGGATACACAAAAATTAAATCGATTCGGTTCTTTATTTTGAAATTATGAGGTCAAATGTATAACACTATTCGGATCGTGTATGCGCGTTTCGGAGACGCAGCATCCATCGATGACGGGAAATTCTAAATTCCTATCTAAGGAAGCTTGTTGTCCTATATGGCACAATGTCCGGACATCAGAAGCTCCAACAAGTAGTTTAGAATGGGGTTTCAAGAGACCAGAAATAACGTCTCGTGAACTTGAATGGCAACGTAAGAAGAGTTCGTCGTGGAGATAAGAGAGATCTTAGGAGGTGTAGGAAAGATTTGATTGTAACCAATTAAGTCTCGTGTGCTTCATATATTTTCATTAACTTAGAAGCATTTTAAAGTAGTTTCATTCACTTGGAATTTATTACATTGAACTGTAACTGTAAACCTATTCATTGAGCTGCATTTTGCCACTTCGAAATGTAGCACTGACTGAAGTTAAAAATAAAGCGTATAACTCGGTTATTACAGATCCTAAGTGGTTCATATCAAAATCCATTATAATGATATTCTTTCAAATCTTGAATTTCTTATCATTTTGTATCTACTTGTTCCTTGTTGGTGTTCACAGTTGCACTTTACTTGTCTCTTTTCATCAGTATATTCAAGTTGAATCTTGACTCAATTCTGAAAGATAAATTATTTAAACTTTGTAACTTTTGTTAATCTTTTCGAAAAACTACATGTTTATCCAGTCAAATTAATTAGTTTATGATCTATTCAATATGTATGATGGAATAATTGCAATTTAATAAAATCTAAATATGAAACTCATTTGTACTTTCTGACGAATACTTACTCACCTTGATCTTTATATCGATTTGTGTAATGATTAATAGTTGTAAAATGTGAAACAGATAACACTATTCTAGAATCCCATCTTTTTGTCTTACTAAGAAGGAATTACAGTGAAATTCTATAAATGATTACTTATTTTGTGAATTCTGAAAGGTTTCTTGCTACTTGATAGGAAAAATGTTTATTTTTTATGTCATGAGACTATCCTACAAACATGGATAGAAATTCTAATAAACAACATTGAAGCACATAGAATGTACGATCAGATATTTAGAATATGACGTTAATATCGTGTTATGTTTGTATGATTTTCGAAGGTATCAGTTAAACACCGTAAAATTAAAATTAAAATCCTTAAAAAACTCTTTGCATGAAACCTATTAATCAGATCAACTAACTATGCTTCAGTCGCGCACATATCTTAAACATAATATTCTACTTTATTATAATCAGTAATATAATTATTATTCTCTCAGGAATTTTATACCATAGCCTGGACAACTGTTGAAGTTGAAGGCAGTAAACGTACTAATATACTGGCTGCTGCTGGTCGTATGCATGAGATCAGACTACTTCATCCTGAACAATTGGTTTGTTATGCTGAAATGAAAGGTCATACTGAGGATGTAACAGCTATGATATTTCATCAAACACAATCTACAATTTTATTCAGTGGAGATTCTAAGGTATTTCCAGCTTTTGATGTAATACTACATGTTTTGTATATTTGCATTAACATTGTTTATATTTATGTCTATGCTAGACTAGTTATAAAATATATGTATCAAGTGTTTTACTCATACTGTAACACAAACTTTCAAGGATAAATATCTGACAATATTTTTGAGGTATATATATATATATTTATATCTTATATGCATAAATGTGTTCCAATTAGTTTTTGAATATTAGATGAACATAGATATTTTTGAACAGATTAATCAAGAAAATGACTGTACAGATTAATTCTTCATTTTGGTTTTGCATATTTTTCACACGAAAGTAATCTAAGATGATGATGGTCTAACGTTTCTTTTGGGTTTGAAAAATATGTTTACTAATTAAAAAGTTGATGAATGTGAAGTTGTGTGATAACAAAACTAATTATTGCTTACATCATTCTAGTACAAGTAATTTTGACTATATGACCTAATAAAATCCTACTTAGCCACTAACTGTGCGCTAATGCTACTGCACGATTTAACTTCTCATTACCGTAGTATATGATCTTTACAATTTATGTCATTTGAAAGTATAAAATAAATTAACTCATTCACAAAGTACTTTGGAATGAGCTACACTCTAAATGTAAAAGAGCTTATGGTGTAACTCGGTCGGTCAAATTGAATGTTGAGTGGTGCGGCGTTCGAACGTTCGAACACTTAATGGCTATAAATTGAATACCCTTAGCTAAAATTCGTATCTTTAATGAGAATCAGATTTACTTTTCGCAATACTTCCTGATTAGATGCAAATTGTCTCTTCTATTTATTTTTTTTTTACAATTTCTACTCTTTTAGGCATCTGTTATTGTATGGGATATTGGAATTCCATCTGTACCAGACTATAAAACACGTTATCAACTATTAATGCGTCTTCGTTGTCCTAGATTAGATGTGAATCCTGTATTAAATCTTGTCTTTCTTCCACATTATGCCTATTTAATAGCTGGTTGTGAAGATGGACTATTCGCATGGAAGATAACTGATCTACGTTTAGAGAAACGAGAACGTGAACCGGATATGGAGTTAAAATTAGACTTTAATCATGAAGTTTGCATTGATGCTTTAGCTCAACTAAGTGATAATGCATTAGTTTTGAAAGTAGTAGAATCCGGTGAAATTATGGTGTTCGATTTTGCATCGATTTTGGAACGACGTAAAGGTTAGTAAATTCGATATATAAGTGTATGCATGTTGTATTCATCGTTCACATTTATGTGCTTGTTTTTTCAAATTTGTACTATATCAATTCAGAAAAAACAACAACAATTAGTTATAGTAAATTGTTTTTAGTTCAATTTCAATATAAGAACAATAAATTTTTAATCTGTTTGTATTTATGGATTTGAATTAATAACGTCATTTCATGAATGTGGTAACACTGTAAACAACAGCTGTAGAATTTACTAGATACTTATATTCAGACAACCAAGTGGATAACCCCTAAATATCTTTCAGAAAAGTTCATGGAGGTCATGAAATGTTTCATCCAATAAGCCTTGAATGGTTGGTTACCTTCGCAGAAACATTTGGGAATTGCAAAATCACATGCCATGATTCTGATAGGATATTTAGCTATACCGCTATATTATTAGTATGGTTCTTGAAACTTCCAGAAGCTCAAGGTCACGAGTAACTCTGTAAATACCTCCATTTTTCTATATACAAATTAACCTTGGAGTAAAGCGTTCATCTTCTAATTTGTGCTTTTTCTTCTGTGTTTAATTTGCAATGTAGATTTAGTCTGAGGTTATTAGAAACGGATAGGAAGATCGTGTGTTTGTTTAGCAGACTTATCACAATACTATGTTAAATTAAACGAGAATATAAGTGTATATCCAGAATTTGTACATATATTTATTTATAAATATTCACAAAGATGAATTCAGTTTTAAACACGTAAACTACTAGATGCCGATTTAGTGGTCTTTCTCAAAACCAAAGGACTTGAGGAACGTTTGTGCATACATACTTCTGAGAGGAGTCCCATACTGGGACGATACATGCTGTCCAGTATTTGCTAGTTTTCGTTGTTTGTTTAATTAACATCATTGAGTGATGTTAGGTATGAAATGGAGTTATATGAACCCGTCCATTTGTTACATTATTTGTTAAAAGTCTATGCTATCCAAAGAAATCGATTCGTTATAGACAGTTTTGTAACTTTCACTAAGTTTTACTGCTGCATAAGATGAAAAGAATATTTTTAAAGTATTCAATCCAGTTACTTTGAAAAAAAAGTATGAGTTTATCCATCCTGTTTTTTTTAATGTTCTTTAGATGTACAGTCTCCTGTGTTTTTGAATATTTTTGCTTAGGTTAGTGTAATTTACTGGAGATTTCATTGCAAACATTTAAAACTCACCACATTCATCTGTCAGTGTAACGTACCTCAAAATGCCGGACATGAAAGCATTCAGTAAAATAACGGTTACGGCTCTAAGTTAAATCTTCAGTGAAAACTGCACTCTCATATCCAGCTATTTTACATTAAACAAACAAAAAAGATGCTTGACACTGGACGCTAGAAATGAATGGATAACCTCACACCAAAGAGACCATCAGCTGTGCACCGCTATATATTTACAATATGCATGCTTGAGGTCACCTCCCTGTCTTTTACTACTATTTAGTATATCATCCATTGATTGCGTATAATCTTAATAGCCCTTACAATATGTTAATTGAGGTTGTTTAGGTTTTCTGAAGTAACTAGTAAGACAATATGCTCAACGTCACTCTGTATTATCAAGCGAAATGTAAATAGGGAAATATTAGTTCGTATCGAATCGGTTTGAAACATTAAAGATTTCGCTTTTTGTGTTTGTAATTTATATATTATAGGACTTCAGCGTGTTGTCCCTATTGAAATGCGAGGTCATTTATTATGGCAGAAAACAGATGAGATCTACATCAATGTATCTGTTAGACAAAATCTAGGTGCTGTTCTATGCGGTGATAATGAAGGTTCAATTTGGATATATGACTTGGATCCATACTTGGATGATTTACATTCTTCAAGTCGTAAACGTTTTCATGTAAAACCAATTAAGGTATAAATAATTTTAAATTTATCTGTCATTTATTATTATTATCCTAACCTTCATGGTTTCGTTTTTCAGCGTCCTGCAATCTGTCTCAAAACTAACACCTAATTGTTTGAGTCCCTTAACCATGTACTATTAAACTTGCCTGGTAGACAAGTTTCTAAGACTTAATTCTCTATCATATTTACACACGTGTTGATTGTTGACTACTAATCCGAATGATATTCTAATTTCAATTGTTAATCGAATTTCTTCCATCAGTAAATCTACTCCAGTTATTCAACTAAATGCATGCAGTACCTGGATTTATCTAGTTTAAAGTTAAGTGTTTCGTTTGAAACTCTATCACTCTGTCTAGTTTCAATCACTAGAACATTTCTAAGTAATCAAGTGAGAGTTATTTTTCGAACTGGCAACCTTATGTTTTATATTTTCACATAAGCTACTTATCGTCAATTGATATTTATAAATTCTAAAAAAAATCCTTATTTTCTGGTGTTTAATTAAGTATTTAACCTATTTTTGTCAGACATTCAGTTATAGAGACTGCGGTGGTTGAAAAACACTCAGTATGGTTTTCGTTAGTTTCACTTTCCCTTGTTTCAGTTAGTCAGGTACAACACAGAACTTCCTACGTTCGTACATCAGTCCGAATTGCCAGACCACATTAGCACAGAGAGGTTGAATTTTCAATTCAAATCCCATAGTAGTAGAGGTAGTATTAGTATTAGCGGTAATGGAGAAGATAAGGGATCGGAGATATCACTCAAGGAAACATCCGAGTGAAATTAAATCTAAAAAGAGAGAAAAACTGTCATAAGGAACTCGGAACATTGTAATTTGAGGAAAGACAAACAATGGATGCACCTGCGCCATTGCAAACAATTTCGAGCCATGTCATTTCAAGACGCTTACCATCGGTTCCTATCGTCTCGCGGACCCCAACCAGGTGGTGTACACCTACTAACGTAGCTCACTTCATTTGTCAGTGACTTCATATACTGGTATCTTGTTTTGGTTCGGCCAACCCTAGCTTTCCTCCAGCCTACTCTTACATCACAAAACATCGCTCGTTAAGTCAGTCAGTGGTTGAACATACGTAAAATATGTCCTAACCGCCTCAACTGATGAACATCCATTGATTCATTAGTTAATCTTCTGTCCTTACCTAGTACCCTTTTCGTAACAGCAGCATTGCTTACTCGAATATTTAAAACAAAATATCTCTCATTTTCCTAGAATAAAATTTCTGTTAATCCTTTATGATTAACCGCATAAGAGTTTCCGCGTTTCTTTTATAATCTCTGCCGAAATTACATTATTGACTATGCTTTAGTTAGTAACAACAAATGATTGAATAACACAACACACAATTTTGACACTGTTTCATTTTTCCTCAATCTCTGCTTAGAATGCGAAATTTTTTCTATCATCATTTTGTCTACATCATCATACATTTTATTAGAATATCTTCTAAATTAATTCTTAGATTCTTGAATGGCCTGAATGTTCAGTTCAAGGAAATCGTGATGAAGATCAACAACTGAAAGAAAGTATCACATCAGGTTTTCGTAATCCTGTTGTTAATTCCGTTGAAATGAGTTCAGATGGTTATTACTTAGCAGCTGTAACTGATAACAATCTTGTATGCATATGGCGGTATGCTCCACCTCAGCAACAACAACAACAACAATACTCTCAAATAATTCAACAAACTACAACATCAATGCATCAAACTATTCCACATACCAACAATCATTTAACAGCTATCAATAATGCTATTGTTACTGGTTCTACTGGTCTAGTCAATGGTACATCATCTTCAACTGTCGCATGCATGGAGATTTTAAACAACAATAACTCATCAACTACTTTAGAATCGAATGTCATTGAACTTGTTACCGGTCAACATTTGTTAGAATAAACATCAACATTATGATAATGTTGTACCATTGGTTGTGTATTTTTGATACTGTTGTTTCACTTTCCATATATATATATATATATATATATATATATATATATATATATATATATGAGAGTGTGACACAAGAACATCTGCATAGAAAGTGAAACAGCGGTATCAAAACTACACCAGCAATGATACAACATTATCATAATAATGATGTTCATTCTAACAAATGTCGATTTGTATAGAACTCAGTTATTGACTTCAGCTAGACGCTGAAAATATACGTTCATTTTTATATATGCAATTATCACACCCTTTCTTTTGTTCTTATATTTTAAACCTTATCTACCATTTCATACGTATTCACTTCCATAATTATTTCAAAGAATCATGCCTCACTTATTGTCCTTATATGTTACAATATCTGTACACATCATCTTAGTTACATTGTTACCAGCAAAAATAGGTGAGTGGTTACTGTCACTCTCTCCTTCACTGTCATATATACTTATATATGACAGTTATTTTTGTACGTTCTTACTCTCTGATATGTATGCATAATCCACAGTTTGTTTGTTGTTTGCATAAAATATCTCTTTTTTTTTACTGTCATTTATACTTATTCAATATTGATAAAGTAGTATATATTACTATTCTTACCACAATAAAGAAACAATATTATTATCTTTATTATGCCTACAAATTGTAATGTTCAATATTTCATTTCAAAACAAATTATTCTAATTTGTTTCTTATCTATATTGTGTGTATAATATATCTTCATCCTATTATTTACGTACATGTACATGTTAAGAACGCATAATCAATGTTATTGTTATCATCAAATAGAACTGTTTTTTTTTATTATTCTATTAAAAGGGTCGTTTGAGAAGTTTGTCTGTTCGTTAATAATATGTTTATTTATGTAATTCGAATAGTTAGTTTAAGAACAAATAAAAATAGGGCAGTGAAGTTAGTGATCGATTCATGAACCCACGTCCTGTTTTTATTGATTCAGAAAGATTTCATTCTTGATAGTCTTATCTTGTCTAAGAGCAGATTTGTGGAAAAAATTTCAGTAGAGTGGAATCAGATCGTACTAATGTGTTTACCAACATTCAATGCAAATCAAGTACTTACGGCAGTTCTTTCAGCCTACTCGTATGATGAAAACTTGTAGGCTAAGTTGGTTTAAGATCTTTACCTTCAACAGTCTTTTTCTTATATATAATCAGTTCAAAGTAGATATTCTTGTAATTGCTAGAGTTTTGGTCAAGCAGATAATTATATCTTCATGGTGGAATACACTCAAAACTATTCAATATCACATAACCAGTAGTTGTTTAGTTACTGATCGACTTATTATTTCAGTTTACTCAAAAACTATCTAGTTCCCTCGAACTGTTAAGTGTTGAAAAAACATTTATTCACAGTGTAGGAAGTGTAATTTTCTTCCGATCTCTAATTAGTATAGTTACCCTTCCACGTTGTGGGCAGCCGGAAAGTGACAGCCGCCCTCACACAAGTAACAGCACGCAAGATCAAATCAATCTGTCCGTCTTGTATAGTTACCTGTCATCATCAAAGGAATGGTCTGGAGAACACGAACAGTATCTGATCAACGTCTTTGATAACATAAAAGTCACAATGGAAAAGGAATCAAACAACAAATAATCATTCCTGGATGTATTAATCAGCGGGACTGACAGGAAAACTGGGGACTCAAGTATGTCGCAAGCCAACCCACACATCTAATTCTCAACTACAATAGAAAAAACACAAAATCAACTGTGTACAAAATTTATTGAAGCAAGCGAAAACACATGAATCACGAAGAAAAATATCTGATGACCATCGGAAGAACAGCTATCCGCAACCTAACCCATCAGCAGAAGCGAAATCAAGTACAGGAACCAACAGACGAATCAGACCATGTATAGAAGACACATCGAAAATTGCAGCAAGATTATTGAAGACGTTTGGATTAGGTGTAGCACATGAACCAACAAAACCACTCCAATCAATCTTATGTAAACTAAAGGAAAGAATTTCAAAAGAAGAAAAACCGACCATCATTTACAAAACAAACTGCGAAAAACACCACACATCAGAGTGTACGTTCTCATCAGCTTCGCCTATATGAACATCAATTAGCATGGCATAGCATTTCTTCCCTTATATCAATGCATGCAGACAACTGTGGACATACATTTGATCGGAAAATGTTGAAATACTAGATATAGGGAATACAAAGAACACGATAATTTTTAGAAGCTTGGCATTCAATTCAATCGACAATCAACAAATACATCGGCATTGATCCTATTTATCAAGCAATCAAAAAAATCATAGGATCAAGAACTAAATCAAAATGACAGATTAAAGGTCATTGACAGCTAATCAGGGCCGAAGGATTCAAATGACAGAATCTAATCTATCTAAGCAGCCACTAATTTAAACGAAGGTACATTTTGCTCAATAACCATAAAATACACTAGATGGTTAAAGAAAAATTCTGAAAACTTATCAATAATAATCTACAACTGTTTAAAGACTAGGCATTCTAGTAAAGGAAAGATTTGTAACCTACAATGATGTTGATAATTTCTAAACTCTATCTTCTAACCATAGAGTCATATTATCAAGTTAGATGAATTGTCCATGGCTTAAAGTCCGAACTCTTCGGACACCACACAATTTTCACCTATTCATATGTTGTTTATCAATATTATTTTGAGGTGATTCCTACCGTTAGCTTCATTATCTTACAGCAAATTAAATTCAATTCTATACAGATTGAATATTTTTCCATGTCTTCGTTCACATTTTTTGACCTACCAACACTTATTTAATGGTGTTTTCTCATTGGGATTTGATTGACGAGTTCTTTATAGTACCGCCCTCAACATTACTAAAAACTGATCAACAATATTACCCACTGATTTGTGGATTCATTTTATAAATTCTCAATTCAAAAATAATTTAGCCCAATACTCAAGAAATACTCTATAAAAGGATTTTAACTGATGTTCCCCATCCATAATTTGTAGTTTTTTATTTCAGCTGACTGACATCATTATGGAATATTTTACACCTTGTATTAGTTACTTGACGAAACTAAAGTATACTTTTATTGCATGGCATTGAAGTACACCGTACAGCATATTAGATACATATTTATTTTTCATTACGGGGTTGTGAAGATTGTTAAGTTACACATTTTTAAAACCATGAATCGATCAATGTTAGACCACCATTAGAAACCTGGAAGCACCGGACGGCCGTTTCGTCCTGGTATGGGACTCCTCAGCGTTAGGGCGTTCGCGCAAAATACCGAAGGTCCTGGCTTCGAATCCTGAGGGGTGCAGGAGTCGTGGATGCGCACTGCTGATGAGTCCCATACCGGGACGAAACGGACTTCCAGTGGTTCCAGGTTTCTAATGGTGGTCTAATATTGATCGATTCATGGTTTCAAAAATATTCATTTTTGTCGAAACAATTTTATTCATACTAAATATTTGTTAAGTCCTGAACATATCTTTCAATCCTACTTATTGGTTAAATGTGTTGTCGTCTTGATCAAGCAACTTGATTGATTCCGTATTTCTTCTTTTCATTGTTTATTTTTTTTTAATAATTTGTATTTTTAAGCATCAATAATCATGAATGATGACATAATCAAGTCAAATGGTGATGTTCAATTATCAACTAATTTAAGTGAAAATGAAGTGACTAATAAAAATCCCATGTATTTAGCACATGATTTAACAAACGAACAAAAACGAACTGCTGATGTTTTAGACGAGAATTATTTGAATACAACAAATGGAACTTGTGTTAATAGTCGTAATACACTGTTTGTGGATTTACAATTATCTACACCTGTATTACATGGACTACATGATGCTGGATTTATACGACCATCACCTGTACAAGTTAAAGCAATCCCTTTAGGTCGATTAGGTATGGATTTAATTGTTCAAGTAAGTAACTACATGTTTAGTTATATGTAACTTTTTATTTTAAGCGAAATTGAAACTTACGATTGTTACCCCCAATGGAGCATAGGCCGCTGACCAGTATTCTCCAACCAACTCTTTCCTGGGCTTACCTTTCCAGTTCTGTTCAATTTTTGTTCATTCTTCTCATGTCTTTCTCTGTTTCTCAGCGTCATGTCTTCCTTGGCCTTCCATTCTTCCTTTGACCTTGAGTGTTCCATGTGCGAGCTTGTCTTGCGACACAGTTGGGTGCTTTCCGCACTCAATCTAGCTGGTTAGTAATTATACAATTAGACTATATATAGACAACAATAATTCATAAAGTGGTTTATTAAGTTACTATATACTTTAGTCTTCTGTCGGACGTAACAACCATGATACCCTCCAAATTAGGCCGATTTGTAACGAATATCACATATAAATACATTTTTATGTTATTTCTTCATTTATGTGATTGATCCTAAAGAAAAGTGAAACTGTGCTTTACAAATAAACGAAATGCCTATTATTTTTGTAATTTCATTTCATTTCTTTTTATTTTCTTTGTTTGGACATACTAAAAAAAGGCTAAATCTGGCACCGGTAAAACTGTTGTCTTTGCTGTAGTTATTTTGGAAGCGATCAACGTGAAACGACCCACTATACAAGCACTTGTTTTATCGCCAACACGTGAAATCGCATTTCAATCTCAAATGGTTATTGAACGATTAGGTAGTCATATACCTGGTTTAAAATGTCATCTATTTGTTGGTGGTAAGTTGAAACACTAGGGATTTTCAATATATGTATGAATAAGTGTCCAATTTTTGTAAACGGTTATATCAGCTATTATGAACATTCATTCTTTTATACTGTACCTACTATCTAAAAGCATTAGTGATTATGTAGCTAACTTTCTTTTTTAATTCATAAGTTATTTGTACTGCAGTTATTCCAATCATCTCGGAAATAATATTTCTGTTGTATTATAGTATTCATTTTTGAAACCATGAATCGATCAATGTTAGACCACCATTCGAAACCTGGAAGCACTGGACGGCCGTTTCGTCCTGGTATGGGACTCCTCAGCAGTAACTAGCTTCGTGAGGATTCTTCTCCGAGTTCTAGTGGGAAGACGTGACCAGTGAAGTTTAACCTGTTCGGGTGTAGACAGTGTCTACTGAAGACTGTGTATTAGGTGAATTGGTCAAGTTAGACATTAACACCGTTAGATACCGGCTCAGTGGTCCAATGGTTAGCCGTTCGCACACAATACCGAAGGTCCTGGGTTTCGAATCCTGCGGGGTGCAGGGGTCGTGGGTGCGCACTACTGAGGAGTTCCATACCAGGACGAAACGGCCGTCCAGGTTTCTAATGGTGGTCTAACATTGATCGATTCATGGTTTCAAAAGTCTGTAACTTAACATTCTTCACAACCCCATAATGCGTATTATAGTATTGTATATTGACATTATTTTACTTGATTGTTTATAATTCACTACTTGACAGTATTTTTGTTTGAACCCTTTTGCTATGTATGACTTTTCAGTTTAGTTAATCATACACTTTATAAGTGTTCGGCATCGTAATTTATTTATTGGCCATTGTTATCAAATATTCATAGATTTATTATTGTAGAGCTTTAAAATAAAGTTATTAAAGATAATTATTTACTGATATACGATTCATTTTTGTCAATAAAGAGAATACCATTCAACCTAATGGGTTGAAAAATCATCTAAAAAAACATCTCAAATTTAAAACGTAAATATTGTGAAGATGCTTTACATTCTAAATCATCAACTAATCATTGTTAGACCACCATTAGAAACCTGGAACCACTGGACGGCCGTTTCGTTCCGGTATGGGACTCATCAGCAGTGCGCATCCACGACTCCTGCTCTTCGCAGGATTCGAACCCGGGACCTTCGGTATTGTGTGCGAACGCCTAACCATTGGACCACTGGGCCGGCATCCAGCGGTGTTAATGTCTAACTGTGATTGACCTAGGGATGCTTTAATTGTTTGACTGACAATTCAAATATTACTAATTTTAGAAAAAAATCCACAAGCAAATTGTATTACAACTTTTTACCAGATACACTTTACATATCTTCAAAAGTGATGATTCTTTAATGCTTATCTTGATTTCAGTAGAACTGAGTAGTATAAATGAGTACTAATGAAATGTATTATATTCCTACTTCGTATACACTTCATCGACAAATCACGTTGAAATAATGTAGATATTTAGGATACGTATATTTCAGACAAATCAGTCAGTAAGTTGTGTCAGTGTTACAATGGAGAAGCTGTTTTCTTTTTCTTTGAAATATTTTTCTAAGGATAATTAAATTCTTCTAAGAATTCGAACTAACAGTGAAATAATTCAATTTTCCAAAGCATACTATTTTCAATCTCCCACTTAATAATGTACATTTAACAGAACTTTCGTCTAGAACGAAATGTAATTTTCTTGAAAGAGGGAACAGAGAAGGAAGACACGATGAAATAAACCTTTTTATTTAATTCCAAATATTTAGTCCTTTTCAAACAAATTGGAAGATTAATTAGATCAGAAGGAACTTTAGAGTATACCATCAAACTTGTCAAAATCATAATTCTTTTCATTTTATGAATTCAATCTAGATCATTTACAAACTTTGTAGTTTAGAACGGGGTTTCAGGAGACCAAGAATGACATTTCGTGAACTCGAATTGTTTGCATTAGCAGTGCAGGGTGATAAAGGAATATGAAAAGAGTGAGTCGTGCAGATAAGCCATGTATTAGGAGGTGTAGAAAGGATTTGATTGTGAACAATTTGGTCTCTCGTGCTGTTACGGGTATGAGGGCAGATTTCACTTCCCGGCTGCCCACACCATGGAAGGATGTTTCTTGAGGAACCTGAAAGGGAAGGTAGATTAGTGTTGGTGTTGGAGACCTGAGAGCGTGACCGCAGAGCCCAAGGGAAAACTGTTTGAGGCCGGTCATGCATGGCCTTTTTATGAGAAGCTTTTGAAGTGGTAGCTCCGTTCTTTTTAAAAGCCCCTACCACCGGAGACGGAAATCCGTGCGGTAAGGTGAGGTGTGAAATTCTTATGGTCGGCCTTTTCTAACCCTTTCCTTCCTTGTGAGAAGGCAACATCGCTGCAGATGCTGGTTGTCCGAGGGAAACACCTCACTGCTATCACACCCGTCTACAGTCAACAGTAGGATTTCACCCTCAGACCTTGAGTAGCTACTTTTAGTTTGATCGTTCTCCAATCGACCTGCCTGGTATGGTAGAACCTACGGAAACATATGTTCCAGCCAATATAGCTCTGTTGTGTCATCACGATAGGCAATCCTGACTACCATACCAAGGTAACATCTACGGTCGGGTTAGAGACCTTGAACGACATGGCTCAGAATCGGTTGCAATGGCACAGGTGTATCCACTCTGTGTTCTATCAAATTCTAATCTTCAGAATTCCTCGTCATCTCTATCTTTCTCTTTCTAAATTTATCTCACTGAATTATACTTCTTGAATAATATCTTCAAATCCTAACTTCTCCATTACCGCCAGTACTTCCACTATCTCTACCACTATGTAATTTGAACTGACAGGTGCGTCTCTGTGCTAATGCAATATGGCAACCTGAACTGATGTACATACATACGAGCTTTAACAATACTAATGACAAGCATCATAAAACTACAATGTGTATTATTATTTCATAGTGAGATTTTCGTATATTCTTCAAGTGTTCATTTCATCTAGTTAAAATCTCCATTATTCACATTCAACTGATTTGTTCACAAAACTTTATTTTACTTAGAAGCTAAAACAATTCTGCTCTAATTGATAGTTTCAATCAAAATTAATCAACAATTAAATATAATAAACAAGATTTCTCTCGAATTTCTCGTTGACTTCTTATCGCATTGAATTGAGAAATCGTATTTTTTTTTAAAAAAAAAATATGTCACATTTATTTCATATGTGATACAAATTCAAAGCATCATATGCTGTTAACCTTACCTTAAAAAAAAAAAGAAAAAAAACTACCTACATACAAAAGTACTTTTCTCTATAAGTCAGAAATTTTAAAATAAATAAAAACTTGTTCTACATACCACTATGCAGTTTCAAGACATGAACTATGACAATAAAATAGTACTCGAACTAATTTATCAGTCAGCTTTCTCTCATTATGATTCCTAAAAAATACTATCAACAAAACTATTCTGTGAAATTACAAGTTGGTATTCCGTAATAATCGAATCTAATGCTTCCATTATTTTGATCATGAATTAGTATGTCAGCCTAATAAATAAATAAATAAATAAAATAGAACAGCACATTATTAACTGTTCGATTGATGATTATTCAATATATAAATGGACAATTCTTTTAATTCATCTGTATTTTAAATATGTGTGTTCATTGAATTCAAAAGCATCACTAGCATATTTTGGAATATATTTAATTCTACTTCAGCAAAATTTGAAATAATAATATTCATAGCGAGTGAAAAATCACTCGTGTTAAACATAGACAATAAGGAAAATTCAATGAATATTGTGTGTCTGAACATTAATTAAGAATAAAACGAATCGATCAGTGGTTATAATACATCAATCTCATAGATATATGAGATATTCTGTCAATCAGTCAGTCAGTCAGTTGCAACGTAAAACTTCGTACGTATGTACAAAAGTTCATGTTGCCATACCACATTAGCACAGAGACGCAAATGTCAAATCAAATCCCATAGTGATAAAGATAGCAGAGATATTAATGGTAATGAAGAAGACTAGGGTTTGAAGATATTATTCAAGAAGTATAATAATTCAGTGAGATAAGGTTAGAAAGACAAAGGTAGAGGTGCTGACGATTCCAGAAGATTAGGATTTGAGAGAGCACAACGAATGGATGCACTTGCGCCATTGCAAACGATTTTGAGCCATGTCATTCAAGGTCTCTAACCATTAGTGACTTTGGTCTCGCGAACCCCAACCAGGTAGCCTACATCTACCAACATGACTCAGTCCACTTGTCAGTGACTTCATGGATTTGTGCCATGTTTTGGTCTGGCCGCCGCTAACTTTCGTCCAACCTACTCCTACACCACAAAACATAGCTCGTCGAGGCAGTCGGTGGTTAGGCATACGTAACACATGTCCCAACCACCTCAACTGATGAAGTGGTTGGGACATGTGTTACGAATATTCTGTAAGCTTCTATCATTCACAAAATAATTATTGGCAACGATATAAGGTTTTCTAGATATCATTTCTGATCGCTTATTCGTATGTAGAGTAACACTAGTATTGTAGTGTGGAGCCTATATATAGTATGTAATGGAAATGCATCAGAGTGTTGCCTTGAAGTTACGACCGACTAGAAATGTTTTAGGTACGGCTTTGTGGAGCGATCTGGGTATTTTGAGCAATAGAAGACAGGCAAGAATACACTTAATTTGTAACTGTTATAATTCTCTTTTTATTCCAACTCAACTATTCCTAATGCTTAAGTATTCTCGGACACCAATTCACCCGAAATTTTTTCTCTCAAATCAGAACACGGTTGAACAGAAAATAGATTATATTCCAATAACAAGGTTAGATGGAAGTAAGAAGCCCAATAGGATGAAACATTAGTATATTTATAGTTCTTACATGAGAAACTTCTAGAATGTTCCCACGGTATCGACTAGCACTGATTGTCTACGAATGAGCCAATCAACGTGTAACAACGCTATCATATATGGAACATGCTTTTAATCCAATCTATGTCCCGCTAACAGTAGCATTCATATTCATTTTACCAATGTAATCTTTTGTTCTGATTGACGACAACTAGATCAACTTAACTAATTTCTATTTTATTTTGTTTTTATACAAAATAAGCTTTCCATTGTTTTTTTTTACTTTCCTATATATATATTTTTTAGGCTTACCTTTAGCTGATGACTTACGTCATTTATCCAATTGTCATATTGTTGTCGGTACACCAGGCCGTGTTCGTTATTTATTAGAAGCTGGTTATTTATCTACTGAACATATTAGACAATTTGTATTAGATGAAGCTGATTTACTTTTATCCGGTGGTGCAGATGCTAAATTAACTGGTGGTAGTGTAAATAATGCATTTCCAGCTGATATTAATTATATTTGGTGGAATTTACCACAATCGAAACAAGTATTAGCTTTATCAGCTACATATACAGATTATTTAGTTAATGAACATCTTCCACGTTATATGAATGATCCAGCAATTATACGATTAGCTGTCAAGGATCCAGCTTTAATAGGTTTGTTATAAATTTCAACATGATTTTAATTATCTAAAATGCATTTTAAAATAATCCAATTTGAATAAAATAATATGATAGTTTATTTCTGTCATTCATATGAACGAGATAATGTACCTATTAATTATTCTTAACAGATGCGTTCTTTTTGTAATGCAATAGAATACCAATTATCGGATGGATGTGCAGAACACTTTAGGGATCAGTTCAACCAGCCTTCAGCCAGTTAACTTGAAAGGCAAGTTGATATCAGTCCTACGACTCTTTATGAGGTTGAAAAGACCATAAGCGATCTAAGGCAAGACGGAGCTACAGATCCTGATAGGTTAGCCCCTTATATTTTTAAGGATAATTGTCCAGTTTTAGCAGTTGATGGACTGAGATCTTAGGAAAAATCTGGGAACTGAATGTAATCCCATCTGACTAGTCCCAATCACTAATTGTCCCAGTCAATAAAAAAAAGACAAAAGTCCTCATATGACAATCACAGAGGAATCAGTCTGATTAATATGGTGTCTAAAATGTTAGCCGCAATAATACTTAGACGCCTAGCTGGCTGATTTCAGACCTGGACGTGGCTGCATAAACAACATACTCACACTTCGTCAAGTCCTGGAATATAGACACACTTTTCAACGTCCCACAATAGTTGCATTCCTCGACGTTAAGGCGGAGTCAGATTCTGTTGGTTGTGAGGTTCTATGGCAGTGTCTGTCATTGAAAGATGTACCAAAGAAATACATTACCCTTATACAGGCTCTCCACTCGAACACTACAGGTCGAATGAGAGCCTATAACGAACTGTCGATAATCATGAATAATGACCGTAGGGAGATAAATGACAACTTACTAGAGATGCAAGTTGACTGAAGTTTAACTTTTGTCGTTTGACACTGACCCAGTAATTCTATCGATTAAGCGTTTACTGCGAAACGTGAAGGTCATGATTTACTCCTTCGATAGAGCTGTAGATGTGCTTTGCTGAGTGGCTCCATACAAATACGAAATAACTGTACAGTTCTCCATAGCTTTAATAGTACTTCAATTACGATCGATCTGTAACTAATACGCACTACATGAATGTAAATTTTTCAGAGCGAAAATTCAAAATTATATGTATGTGTTGTGTTTACTAAATTGCAAGCAAACGTTGTTAATGGACATGTTGATGAAATATGATTGCTTTTAATACCATAAGTTTCTATATAATTCCTTTTCATTAGTTGTTTGAATCCACCCATCTCTGCTTATAAATGTCTGTGTGCTTGAAGGTCGTATTTTCGTGACATTATCACTAAGTTGACTCTAAGTTTATCTCCTATTTTCCAACACGAAGTTACCTTGTTTATTGAGTTGTTTTTACAAAAGTTGTTATGATCGTCAACTGATGTGTTTGAAACTATTACGAGTTCACCTTAGTCGATAAACGAGAATGAGACAATGACCCAGTGACACGATAGGCTACTCTAATCTGTTGCCCACTCTAACTGAAGAAGAAGTCTTGATATGGCGTAAAAAGTGTATTCTACAAGCACCCAGAAAATATAATGATCTCAAGCACACAAATCGAGTTTATCTATACATCATAGAACCGTCCTTGGGAGACCCACAAAAATAGCGTACTAAAATAACACATTAGCCAATAACAGTCAAGGATTTTCCTGGTGGGAAATGTAATCTCAAGATCAACTGATTGGCCCATCAATAAAATCCAAAACTAGGACATTTATCCCCGACAAAAGTGAACACGTACTATTACGTTGTCTGAATTATTGAAACAGCAAAACTTTATCAAGAATAAAACATTAAAAGTTATCGACTGAAAGTCTTTTCTGTCGTGTGCTCATGTGCGTGTATGTATTATTTCTAACAACCTCATACAAATTATAGATTGTCTAGAGATTAGTCATCTGCCCGCTAAACCAAAAGTCCTAGGTTCAATTCCTGTTTAATGCTGTCGTAGATGCATATTGCTTAGGATTCTCATACTATAATGTAATGGCGATTATTTATCGTTGATCGTCTTGTGATTCAAATAAAATCATTATGTCATAAACTGATTTTGTCCTCTTTCATATAAACTTATTAGTATTCATTATTTTCATAGGTGTACGACAATTTTTTCATCTTATTCAACCAACTACACGTGCTCCAGCTTCAGTATTTGATGCTAAAGTAAAATTTCTATGCAAACTACTCAATGCTACGGAATTTCAACAATGTTTAATTTTTTCAAATTTTCATAACAAGTAAGAATTTTAATTGTATTTTATAAATTATTTCAATGTTAACTTTTTTCTTCATCTTCTGTACTTTTTTTAAAAAAAAAATTATATTTGTTAGTAATTTATGATGTTAGTTTATTCAAAGTACAATAGAAATGAATTAAGTTTTTTTTTTGTTTTACTGTGTTAACGATGACAAACAAAGTAATGCTGTATATTCGTATATTTAAGGAACTAATTACTGTTGACACATGAAAGAACAATGTCTGTACAGATTAATTCATTCATTCATTCATTTATAATAGTGATTTGTAAAATGTGATCATTTTTATTTTCCTCTAACTAGATTTACATTGATTGTCGTCGGGAAAAAAAATTAAAACAACCCAGATGTAAAATGTCTTATGTAACATGCAATTATCACTGATTATCTCTAATTTTGTAGGGCTGATCTCATTCGATAGAATGAGAGTGAGATAGAGATACATAGAGAGAGAGAGAGAGGGTAATAAGATAATCAATTCTATCATAATGATCGGATCCTGCGAAGTGCGGGAGTTGTGGATGCGCACGACTAATGATTCCCATGCCAGGACAAAACGGCCGTCCAATGCTTTCAGGTTTCTAATGGTGGTCTAACAATGATTGATTGATGATTTCAATGTGTAAAAACAATAATCTCCATAACTCTAATTGAAAAATCTATCCTAATTATTTGTTTGTTTGTTTTAAATAATGAATGTCAACAGTCGGATGAAATAAGTTATCTGAAATAGTTGAAAATATTCAATATTGATTTATTTAAAAATGACTAATTGCAATTATAATTGTCATCTTAAAAATATTATTCTACCAGACAAAATGATGATGATGATGATGATAAAACTTTCAATTTTGTACAGGTACATTACAATGTTTAGATGATAGAATTTATTCAATAACTATTGGTTAAATACTAAAGAATTAAGCGTGAAATGGACAATAATTTAATTAAGTAAATAATTCACTTGACAACTTACAACAATTACATTATAAATATGAATCTTATTTAATTTGCAATAAAGTTCATTCAAAAAAAAATCAAATATTTTTACCAACAGTTATGTAATAAGTTTTGTTTTTCTTTGCCACCTTCTAGTCAATTATCTATGAACCTCTTTATGATAATGTTGTTGCTAACTTTCAAGATTATATGAACTGAAAATATATTACAATTTCTACCATTATTTACTTGTTAGCGTTTTTTTTTTGCGAGTCTCTCATCAGCGCTGATGGTTTGATGACTGACAAAATCTCAGCACGAATAGAGAAGACTCGATTGGCTTTCACCAACTTGCACCACTGATGGCATAGGCGAGATATTTGTTTGCTAACCAATGGACAATTGTAATGCGCAGCAGTTCACTTCGTCTTACTTTATGGCTATGAAACATGGCAGTTAAGAGTAGAGGACATTAGTAGGTTACTAGTCTTCGATCATAGGTGTATCCGAAGCATTGCTCGTGTATCCTGGGACGACCGAGTAAGCAATGCGGTCGTTAGGAAACGAGTACTAGGTAAGGATGGCAGATCAAACCTCATCAGTTGAGGTGGTTGGGACATGTGTTGCGTATGCCTAACCATTGTCTTCTTCGTAGACCTATGTTTTGCGATATAGGATTTGAAATGACAATTGCATCTCTGTGCTAATATGGTATGCAACTTGAACTGATGTACGTACGTACGACGTTCTATGTTGTCGACTGACTGACGGACTGACCATTATTTGCTGTTGTTAATTATTAGAATACATAAACTACAACTTTTTTTGATCCATTTGGTTTGTTATTTTTTCTGTTGTTGTGGAAATTTCCTCTTTACAGTGCTCAAGATTTATGTGATGCATTGTGTTCACGTGGTTGGCCAGTTAGTTATATTTCTAGTAGTTTAGAACAAGGTGAACGTTTTCGTGCATTCAATAAATTGCGCACATTTCAATGTCGTATTCTTATTACTACAGATTTAGTAAGTAGAATTTCACAAAATATGTTCATTTATTTCTTATCAAGATAATAAACTGTAATTTGATTTCATTGAAATTTTGATTTATAAAATTTTCATTATAAAATATGATGAAATCGAGTGATATGTACGTAAAGAAAATGAAAAAAAGCGGAGTGAAATAAATGTAATCTAGTGGACAACACAACTTAGTAGTTCAAATGGTATATGCATGCCATGTGACCTCGGGTTCCTAGTTCCGATTCCCAGTGGATGTGCACTGCTGAGAAGTCTCGTAATAATGGTTCACACGCGAGACCGAAGGTCCTGAATTCAATTTCCACGGGCGCCAATCGTGGATGCATACTGCTCCTGAGTCCCGTACGAGGATGAAACGGCCATCCAGTGCTTCCAGGTTTCTGATAGTGGTCTAACACTGATCTATTCAAGATTTCAATGAAACTCAACAATCTATACAACCCTTTAATGAAAATACAATATATTAGTTTATGAGCCGAACACGAACAATATCCTCTTCATAGAGTACAAGTTTACTCACTGAGTAATCAACTCTTGGAACCTACTGTTAAGAACAATACCATTTATGTTTTCATATAAGAAAAGAAAAGACAGAGGTGGATCGGTGTATCATAGTTTCTATCCCTCTTGTGCTAGTGTTTGATTCTCTTTTTGTTTGTGAATGTGATGATTGTCTTCCTAATTTGCCACACTACCTATAAATCGACTAACACGATTGTGTATGCCAATATGATCGATGGCCCACGTGATATCCTGATCCTTCTCCCTAAACTATATCACAAAATATCAGGAAGAAACTAGGCAAGTATTTCACAATATGCTATATTGTTCACAATGTAAAATTCGGATGATTTTGTATCTAATCTGTAAGACAGATCATCATTAATAATAAATCTCAATATCTATATAACTAGAACATTTCTGGTACAAAACTAAGTGGCAGATATTTGATTAAATAGCAATAATGTTTGAACAGAAAACTATATAACAACAATTAGATTCAAACGGAAGCTTACTGGATTCCCAGAGAACAACTTTCAGTTTCACATATCAGTTTATTCTACTCGTCTTATCATAGGTTGAAAACTGAACCTACGCAACAATACTCGGTCATTTGGAGTATAACAACATTTTTTATACCAATTATTTCACTGTTCATGTCATTTTACATCCCTTTACTATATTATACATGTACACTTATTGTATCCAAATTGAAGTGATTAGTTAGCGTCATCATAATAATCAAACTAGGAAGTATAATCATTCCTTCAATTGATAGAACAGTTCAACCTCAATTTTAACATTACTCTATCAATTATTTTCGTTAAATGTTTTCTTTTGAAACTCGTAGACTTCACGTGGGATCGATGCGGAAAATGTCAATCTTGTAGTCAGTTTGGAAGTTCCATGGGAGCATGAAACTTACGTACATCGAGTGGGACGTGCTGGTCGATTCGGTAATAATAATCTTTATTCATCCCACAAAATCTGATAATCATTTGAATAGAAATTATTCCTTTATCTATATTGAATACGTTGATGTAACAACGAAGGAAGCCTTTCTGATATATATATATATATATATCTTTTTCCATTTGACTTAATACAAGATTATATCATTTTATGATGCATGTATTCAGCTTATTTTGTGTTTTGTTTTTTTTAACTAACACCGCAATCACTTCGACAGATGACTCTGGTAGTGTCAGCAGTATCTATAACTAATCACCTAAGTTTTCATGTTGTTGCATGTTTCTACCAGTTATAATACCAAAACATGCTCTCCTTACTCTGACATGTAATCGATATCAGTTGTCATCTTTTTCCTAACTCTCCCATAAAGACTTCTTGAAGAGAAATGTATCATTTCCTCTGTTTATTCAAGGTCATATAGAGTCGATCGAAAGTGGTTATCAAATTGATTCAACCTGCTTAAGAATATATCTATTAACGCAAACAGAAAAAGGAATTTCATATTATTTTCTAAGTTACCGTTTAGTGTTTGCCTTGTATGCGAAATATTGTACTGATGATAAATGCTCCAATGTGAAGAAAGATGCACTTAAAATAGATTTGTGTCCATACCACTTCTAGTTAGGGTTCATTGGGAAAAAGAAGGACACTAGAGCAACATAACATTCAATTGTATATCAATTTATTTTCTATATGTTATATTCTTTATGTTACAATCATTAAATCTACCAACCGCGTTAATGTTCTGTACACAATCGATAACACATAATTCCAACTTTACCAAACCTCCAATCAGTAGAATAGCATGTGAGATGAGTGATCACATGTATTTTTGTCATTCTAATGCATAACTCACGTGATTATGCTTAGGTAAAACACTAAACAGTTGCTATTCATTCTTTTCATTTCTATCACAAATTTGGTGCCTTGTATAGGCATTTTGTTGAGAGTAAATAGATTTGCGAATCTCTCACTGTTTTCGTCCCTTTCTCCCAGTTCGTGTCACCCCATGATGTCTTCACCTGCAGTGTTGTCCATTCCAAGCTTGGTATTTATGTCTCACATCAGAATAGTCAAGTCATTTGATGGGCATTTCTTGACGAATGACTGCAGCCTCTCATAGAATGGATCTATAACGTCTCTACTTTACTTCTTGTTAGATGCATAACATTGGATGACGTTCATTGTAATCCCCTGTTTCTTTGTTTTGAAGGATGCTTTGATGATCCTGAGAGCATGAGATTCCCATCCTAACAGTGCATTTTGTGCCTGTTTGGTCAGCATCAGTGCAACTCCTTGATTCTGTATCTTGAAGTGGTGAAGTCACGTGAATGACGCTACTCGGATCCTGTATGCGTGTTTCTGAGACGCAACATACATCGATGGCGCGAGATTCTAAGGTCCTAGCTAAGGAAGCCTGTTGTTCTACTTGACACAATGTTCGGACATTAAATGCTCCAACATGTAATTTAGAACTAGGTTTCAGGAGACCAGCAATAACGTTTCGTGAATTCACATCGTTTGCATTAGCGGTGCAGTATGATAAAGGAATGTGAGAAGAGTTAGTCGTGGAGATAAGAGAGATCTTAGGGGTGTAGGAAGGATTTAATTGTGACCAATTCGGTCTCGTGTGCTGTTTTGAGTATGAGGGCAGATTTCACTTCCCGGCTGCCCAAACCATGGAAGGATGTTTCTTGAGGAACCTTAAAAGGAAGGTAGCTTAGTGTTGGTGTTGGAGACCTGAGAGCTTGACCGCATAGCCGAAGGGACAATTGCTTGAGGCCGGTGAGGCACGGCCTTTTTATGAGAGGATTTTTGAGTGTTTGTTCCGCTCTTAAAAGGCCTTAGTGGGCAGCCCTTACCGCCGGAAACGGAAATCCGTGAGGTAAGGTGAGGTTTGAAATTCTTATGGTCGACCTTTTCTAACCCCTTCCTTCCTTGTGAGAAGGCAGCATAGCTGCAGATGCTGGTTGTCCGAGGGAAACACCTTACTGTTGTCACACCCCTCTGCAGTCAGCAGTAGGATTTCGCCCTCAGACCCTGAGTAGCTACTTTTAGTTTGATCGTTCTCCAATCGACCTGCCTGGCATGATAGGACCTGCAGGGACATATGTTCCAGCCCATATAGCTCGACTGTGTCATCACGATAGGCAGGCCCGACCACCACGTCAGGGTAGCAGCTATGGTCCGGGACATGTGTTACGTATGCCCGACCACCGACTGCTTCGACGAGCTTTGTTTTGTGGTGTAGGAGTAGGTTGAAAGAAAGTTAGGGGCGACAAAACCAAAACATGTCACAAATCCATGAAGTCACTGACAAGTGGACTGAGTCATGTTGGTAGACGTAGGCTACCTGGTTGGGGTTCGCGAGACCAAAGTCACCAAAGGTTAGAGACCTTGAACGAAGGCTCAAAATCGTTTGCGATTGCGCAAGTGCATCTATTCGTTGAGCTCTCAAATTCTTATCTTCTGGATTCGTCAGCACCTCTACCTTTGTCTTTCTAACCTTATCTCACTAAATTATACTTGTTGAATAATATCTTCAAGCCCTAGTCTTCTTCATTACCAGTAATACCTCCATTATCTCTAACACTATGGGATTTGAATTGACAATTGCGTCTCTATGCTAATGTAGTATGGCAATCTGAAATTATGTACTTACGTACGACGTTCTGCATTGCAACTGGCTGACTGACTGCAACTCCTTGTGTTTGTGTTGCATCACCTTGTTCAATCCCGGAATACAACAGCATCTCTCCTGAAATTATTCGTTTTTGTGCAACATACGTCGAATGTGTTTTACTGACTCCAAGCAACACCAAGTTTAAACTTCATTTCCGCAGTAACTTGAATTGTTCTGCCAACCTCCGACATTATGTGAACATTCCATGTTCCTATATTAATTTTTGATCTGATTGCGAGAAGAGGTTTTCGAGGTTTTCTGGAAAGTAATCATGAATAGTGGAATTCAGATATATCTGTGTAAGGGATGCTACTCACAAGATGGCATATAAGTAGTTTTCAGCATAGCATCGCTCAGAAATAGCTACAAAAGAGTATCTGGAAATAGAAATGCGTTACGCAATCACAGTGTTTTGAAAACCAGGAGACATGTCGAAGAGGGAAGTCCATAAAGTACCTATTTTGCAAATGGAAGTTTAGAGAATAGATGTACAAGTTTTGTCGTAAGCTGTGCCTTCCAGTCTTCATATCTTCGCTCATTACATCAGGAAAGAAACAGCTATCTACCCATTCCATTGCTTGATCGTTGCGCTACATCACGAATTGACTTAGGTTTGAAATATGTGCAGTTATCTTTCAACCTAGTGACTTAAGAATAATGAACTGGACACAGTTCTCAAATATTATGAGTTAGAACTCAAGCGGAGTGGTAAGTGTTAATTTTCTTATTGCAAAACAACACAGATGTCTACTACTTCCTATTATCCAATGATTCATCATTTGATTTCAGTCCTCGTCAAAAAATAACATTGTGTAGGCCTCCTCTCTTGTTGAGAGAGTAACAACTAGATTTTTTAAATCCTATTCAATCACTTAACATGATTCGATTAATCAACTGCCATCCTGAATTTTTAAACGTATAACTTACTTTATTAATAGTTCGAAATAATCTTAAACATATTATTGATTAGTATCAAAATATTAATCTTTACTACTTTTCGTTTTAGGAAGCTATGGAGCTTCTGTAATCATTGTTTCAGATGTAGGCGATGAATGCAATCTATTGAAAAAGTTACAAGCTAACTGTCCAACACAAATTCGTGAACTACCTGGTAAGTCTATTTCATAGCTACTTTTTTTCTATAGTTTTCAAAATACAACATCATATTTGATCTGGATATAAAGTATTTTTAAAATACCAACCACTGTCCGGTACTTCTTACTGAAAAAGGGACCAGTAGAATTTTTCCTTCAAGCCAAAAATCACCTCAATAACTATATGCAAATTATGCTGATGGTGTAAATAAATATGATCTGTTTCTTTATTAGTTCAAAGTTTACTTTCAACGTAACCATGATATGAATGATGCACTGATAAATAGAGTAATAGTTTAATGTACACAAGTGTTTACATCACTAGATCGTTGTCTTGTCATTCTATTTTTTTGTAAATCTGTTAACCAATATACAAATAAATGATGTAGAAGTTATATGATAGAAAGTTTTAAAAGAAATACTTGTGAACTTTTTAGTTCAAAGAGAAATATACATGTACTCATGTGAATGTGTTTCTGAACTTGAACACGTACTTTTATTTCAAGAGTTGAATAACATCTGATTGTCACTTTTGACAGACTTGTAAATCTTGTAAAAATGCTGTAGACAACCGAGATTTATTACATCATATGTGCAGATTTTTGATCACACCTATTTATCTATTCATTGATCAATTAAGCGCATAAACTTTTCAAACATGACAAAATAGTTCACCTGTCTCTTTAATATACTAATAATTCCTATATTGTGAATTGGAACAACATATCTAGATCCTCATTAGGTTTTTCTCTAATAGACAGTATAAACGAAAATGTCAAACCAATCAATATACTTTATGAGTTAGCGACAACAGTGGAATAGATTACATAAATAAGACGGAGACATGAATGTAGCACATCCAGGTAACTTACCCATTAGTTGGAGGACCACAGTTGGTCTACTAGACAGAGGTTAGCTACATTAGAGGTATTCATCGCTGTTTTAGTCAGTCTATCTGGCAGCACACTAATAGCTATACCTACGTTCAACGGTGTCTTTATGAAAAGCGGTTTCTTTACAACCATCGATGTCACTACTTTCCTGTGCACTACATGCAAATATTTACGTAGAAAACCTTGTGAATAACCCATTTCTATCAACATATTGTGAATGAGCTCCAGTTCTTTGTTTATAGTATCGTCTGAGCATTTTTTCTCAGCTCTAACTAGGTTTCTTTTGTAATGAATAAGTACAAAGCTCAGGAAATGCGATGGTTTGCTGAGGAAATTATACTATGCACACTGCTACTGATTGAACCAGCTTTCTATCCGTTTAACAATACGTCAATGAAGTGTAATTTGTCTTCAAGTTCCTCCTCATACGTAATTCTGATTACTGAGTGTATATTGTTAACCTGCCTTGATTGGTTTAACATTTTCTTATAGACATATAAGCACTACTGCATATTAGAATTAAGCTTGATGAGAATTGAATTGAAAAAACAATATTGTTCGCTTATATTTGCTTATGTTTTTATCCAAATTGTTTCGAATTATTTCGAATAACACTAATCCTTCTCTTTGTTTATTCATCTTTCAAGTTTATAATATTCACACTTCAATGTTCAGATTAACTTTGATACAATTGAACAATAAAAACATTTTCATATTTCCTTTTTTTTTTCTTTTCTTCTCTTTAAAAACAAACAAATTTCCTAATTACAGATTCTATACCATCAGATTTAACAACATCGGATTGTTCAATTGAATTGGACAATTTAGTGACTGTGACAAATCGAATGAATCATATTCAACCGCGTGCAATATTTAACATGATCACACCAAAAATGAAGAAATTCCAAACTAATAGTAAATCACACAATAATTCAATTCAGTCATCTAATGACTTATCGTTACTATTATCTGAACAAAATAAAGAGAATATTGAAAAGAAGAAAGTTACTTGTAATAATTTAACAAATTTAAAAAACAAACAACACAAATCTACTACAAACAATCATCATCAAACTATCAATGATATTAACATTGATCAAAATGATTTCGTTGAACGGTTATCGAAATACATAAATATAGTAGAATTTGAAGTAGGTACATGTATATATATATATATATATATATATATATATATATATATATATATTTACGATCCCACAGTTTGTTTAGTGCTTTTCAGAACAGTATTCAGATTTAATTGTATTATCTAAACCTTTGATAATATTTTATTAAAGTTGAAAGTGAATAGTAATAGAATAAACGATGTGTGTTTATCTTTGATTACGCTTGTTACCCCTAATGGAGCATAGGATTCCAACTAGCACTCTCCAGTTATATCTGTCCTTAGCCTTCTTTTCCAGTTCTATCCAATTGCTGTTCGTTCTTTTCATGTTTGTCTCAAATTCTCGGTCCAATGTATTGCTCGGACTACCTCTTTCCCTTTGGTCTTAAGAGTTTCAAGTTAGGGCTTGCCTTATGATGTGGTTGGGTGACATCCGAAATGTATGCCCTATCCACCTGTAGCAATTTTTCGTAATAAATTTATTAGCTGGAATCTGGTTTGTTCTATCCCACACTAGGTTGTTGCTGATGGTGTCTGTCCAACGGATGTGGAGTAACTTGTGTACACAACTGTTAATAAACATCCATATATTTCGAGTAATGGCTTTCGCAGTCTTCAAGTTTCCCGTCCATACGCTAGAACTGGCCATCTACTGAGTCTTTCATTCGGTCTAACAACACTCTGTTGAAAACGTTTCCTGGTGTTGAGAGTATAATGATGCCTCTTTAGTTCTAACACCTGCTGAAATCTCCTTCCTTTGGTATTTTGATGAGGTATCCTTCTTGCTAGTGTGTTGACAATTGTTCTTCCTCCGAAATCTTACTGAACAGGACTTGGAGCATCTTCGCAGTTACTGCTATATCTGCTTTTAACGCCTCAGTCTGAGTGTTATCTGGTCCTGCTGATTTACCTCTGTTGATTTGTCTGATGTCCACGTTGGTTTCTCCATTTGTTGGACAGTCAATATCGACATACATTTCGTTGAACGCTCATAGATTTGCGAATACCTCCCTGTTTCGGTCCCTTTCTCACAGTCCATATCGTCCCATGATATCTTCATATCCAATGTTGTCCATTCCAACCTTGACGTTTAGGTCTCTTATCGGAGTATTGCTGAGAGTTATCTTGAATTCGTTCAGTATGCCAGGATTTGGAAGAAAGGCCTTATTAAACCTTTGTGATGCGGTTCGCCCAGTTGTGTAGTGCTTTTTTAGTTTCAGCTCCATCTTGACCACTATCAAGTGATGATCTGAAGCTATTTCAGCTAGTCTCCTCGTTCGCACGTCCTCCATGGTCATTCTGAACTGTATATTGATACAGATGTGATCAGTTCGGTTTAGTGTAGTGCGATGCTGCGAAACGTACGTAAATTTATATATGCGTTTGTGTGACAATTTGGTGCTGTGTATAGGCATTTTGTTGAGTGCAAATAGATTTGTGAATCTCTCACTGTTTTCGTTCCTTTCTCCCAGTTCGTGTCACCCCATGATGTCTTCACCTGCAGTGTTGTCCATTCCAAGCTTGGTGTTTATGTCTCATATCAGAATGGTCAAATCATTTGATGGGCATTTCTCGACGAATGACTGCAGCCTCTCATAGAATGGATCTATAACGTCTCTACTTTACTTCTTGTTAGATGCACAACATTGGATGACGTTCGTTGTAATCCCCTGTTTCTTTGTTTTGAAGGATGCTTTGATGATACTGGGTGCCTGAGATTCCCATCCTAACAGTGCATTTTTTGCATGTTCGGGTAGCATTGGTGCAAGTCCCTGTTTATTGAGTACAACAACATCCTGTTTGTGGCTTATCGTCTTTGTTCAGCCTGTGTCGAATGTGTTTCCCTTGTTCGAAGCACCATCAGGTGCTCCATTTTCATTTCAGCAACAACGTGAATGGTTCTGCCGGTCTCTCACATTGTATGAACATTCCGTGTACCTAAATTAATGGTTGCTCTGTTTGTGAGAAGTGGCATCGGGCTTGTGACTTCGGAAGAGAGTCGGTTTACACCATAAGGTGTAAACTACCAGAACAGAGTTTAAATGACTTCAATTATTTATTGTGGTTTGCGTTTATTTGTCACATTTTTTTATCTACGAGATGGGGTTGATAAACTCATGCCCAATCTCCTTCATTTATCTGATCTTGGGACCAGCAGTAACCGTAGAAATGCTCCAGTTTGGAAATAATTGACAGATAAATATACCTGCATCAGTGCGAATACCAACACTTGAATGCATATGCATTCAATTAACGAGTCTCAAATAGGATTAAAACGTGCTAAATCGCACTCCTAGCTAATATTTCGAATTACTAAAAACTTGTCAATAAATAAGCATATTGAAACAATCCGCTCAAGATCCACATATTTCAATAAATGATGCTTGATTCCGGATTACCATTGGCATCGATAGGTGTGATGCCATAAAATTTGGTTGAAGGAATTGATTTCTTGAAACTCATCTAGGAAATTATAATGTTGATGATTCGCCAAGATGAATAATAAAGTGGACACTTGCAAATAACATTGAATTACGGCTGTTCTGTCGTGATCAGTTAATTGATGCCTGAAACTATGAACATCAAATCTATCAGTTGGATAGTGATGAAAATGTTTCTGGAATTAGACTGTTTGAGTTATGCATACTTGATAAATCATAAACCATTGTGAGACAGTAATAGTACTGCGTCTCTTAGTTATCAATGATATGTATTTCCTAATTAAATCTAACTTAATGAAAATCAGTTTATTCTTTTCTCCCAACTTTATTAATTAGATTGACTCCGTATCCCCGTTGGGTACCACCATCGCTTGGGGAAATGAATCTGCACAGAACGTGGATAAAATTGAGAAAGATCTCTTAAATTTATTTAATTATCATCATAAAAATGGTGTGGAGGTGTTGTCTAATTCAGAAATTGCAAAAGATACTAACAACATTGATAACAACTATGCCATAACTAACACTTGTGAAATTAATCAAACTCATCATCACTCTAATAGCGATAACAGTTGTTGTACTACAGATGACGACATTATGAACGATAAGAATGTCAAAACGAAAAACTCTGTATCACATTTTAAAAAATATCCTACCAAAACAAGTAATTTCCACTGGACTTGTAAACAAATTTCAGCTTGGTATGAATATCATAAATTACTAGATTACGCAAATTATTTTTATACTGAATGGAATTCTTCTATGAAAGAATATAATCAAGCTGTAGCCTATTTAAACGAACTTCAACAATTGAAATATTGTACAGATTAACAAAAACAAATATTGTCAAGTAATTCCACTGAATTTTCAGCGTCAGCTGGGGACTCATTGTATTTGCTTATTTGATTTGAAAAAATCTCTATATATAATGCAATATAATTTATTGCTGAAAATAAATCAGTGTTCTTTTCATTCATTATGAACTGTTATTGTTGATTTACATGACTAATACTAATACTAATACCAAAATTTCATGTGTTTAGTTATTTGTGTTAATATTTAATTTTGGAAATCTTTGTATGTCTCATTGAACAGTGCACACTCTAAACTTACTTTCAATTTCCTTATTTTCATGAATATGAAAAATGTTTTCAAACCGAAGCTGTACATAATTAAAAGAAATAAACTGAATAAAATTTTACCATGATTTTATCACAAGATTTTCCATATCGATAGAGACTGGACTAAACCATCGATTATTATCTAGTGAATAAATGTAATCACTGAGTTTTTTTCTGTACAAACTGTTAAGAGCCCGTGCTATAAGGTTTTCTACCAGCGTTTTTACACATTTTTTGGTGATAAATATATGACCACAGGTTTCCTAGTAGAAACAGCCACAATCATAACCTGAGTTTGGAGTCTTTCGTTAACATTACTCAAATTCAGACTTGGTTGTGTGGATACATTTAATTGTTTTCTTCTTTGAATCTTCAGTTAGGTAACTGCTAAGAAGAGCTCAGGTCTAGGTGACTTTTGCTATTACATGTTGGTAATTTCTTTACAGGAAAATCATGATCGCATTTTCGTATTTCATATTTGCACAGTGATACTTGCTGTTCTCCAACTAGTCTTCAGCACTTTTACTTTCCCAACTTTATTCTCCCTTCAAAGGGGAATCCAAGTTACTACATAAATTGAGACATCTCTTTACAATTTTCGACTTCTTGTCTGAACAGTGAGCCATTTTGAAAGTCCCGTTTTCTTTGTCTCATGTTAGGATGTTGATTAATATCTTTCAAGTTTTGTTTTGCCAAATGGAGTGTGCATTCAAAATGCTCTAGTTACGTTTTTATTAGAAATCATAATTTTTCATAATCAGATTCTAACCGTAGACCAAATATAAACCACTATAGATATTTAAGTTTATTAATATTCCGCAGTAATATTCTTTAATTCTTAATTGCTCATTTAAGGCTATTATTATTTGTTTTATGCATTCATTATTATTGTATTATGAAAATTTACTTGAATTTCAACCGTGTCAAACAGGTCTCTTCATAATTTATTACGTACCTCATTGACTGAGTCTGCGTCAGCAAACTCGACTTTGAACGACAGTTTAGTTTTGTGAGCTAATAATACTGATTGGTTGCTCAAGCTCAGATATCTGAGGCAGATTTCGAAATCTAGGTTGCTATTCACTCCAACCTTCGAATAAAAACAAATTCTAAAAATTGAATTCAAGAGGTTAGTGGTACACCTGAAAAATTCTACACTAGAACGAAATGACTCTCTATGCATTCACGTGTTTCAAGTATGGTTGAAGATCAGTTTGTGGTTTCAACCATGAACATATATTTTCCAGACAAACTCCTGCTACTAACAATAATTCAGTAGTCACACGAGCCAAATCAACATATCACTAGAAAAGGACATGGATGAAAATGAATATTCGGTAAGTAGGGTAGGTACAAAAACCTGTAAATCTATAAACTTATCAAGTGGGAAAAAGAATCTATAAAATTTCAGTCGCTAATAAGCTATGATGCTGATTAGTCGATATTTATCGTTTCAAGGTATATAAGAATAGCCTCAGCAGACAATCAGCGTCATCGTCTCTCGGTGTTTCGCAATGGCAAGAACCAAGCAGACTGCTCGTAAATCAACCGGTGGTAAAGCCCCACGCAAGCAACTGGCTACCAAGGCTGCACGCAAAAGTGCACCAGCAACCGGTGGCGTGAAGAAGCCCCACAGATATAGGCCTGGAACTGTTGCCTTACGGGAGATACGTCGTTACCAGAAGAGTACTGAGCTCTTGATCCGCAAGCTTCCTTTCCAACGTTTGGTCCGCGAAATCGCTCAAGACTTCAAAACTGACCTTCGTTTCCAGAGTTCAGCCGTCTCAGCGCTCCAAGAAGCCAGTGAAGCATACTTAGTTGGATTGTTCGAGGACACTAACTTATGTGCCATCCATGCTAAGCGTGTTACGATTATGCCAAAAGATATCCAACTTGCTCGACGCATTCGAGGTGAACGAGCCTAGATAAGTGTCAATGTAGAGGAACCCAGAGAACGATGCAAAGGCCCTTTTTAGGGCCACTACAAACTGATTATTTCTTTTACCTCTTATTTCCCTGGTTTGTCATTGGCATTGTATTAGTGTGCTTTAAGTCCGAAGGTCGCATACCGTTAGCTGCGAGTTCATATCGCGAGTCGTGTCCATTGTATTGCCGCCCCACTTCTGTCAATATTAGCATCAGCGTACCGATCACCTGCTATCGTATGGGAAGAAGCTAGTTTTCGTCACGTCTTGCGTCCGTTAGTCATGATTATCTGGGTTTTTGTTGCTCTCTGTTTTAATGTGGCATTTGCGAGTTGTCCTCGTCACTTTGATGTGGGACTTGGTTAGTTCGTGCTTGAGTGGGATATACCGACTGTCCATTTCAATTGAGGTCTGTTCTGACAGATTAGTGGAACGATATCACTCAGTCTGATGCGTGTGATTTCATTGCGATGACGCTTTTGTGCTGTTACCCGTTTACATACATCCAACTGGACGTTGCGAAACAGGTCAAGCCGAGGACGTAAATGGAAATGGTCTGCTTAAGTAGAAAGTGACCCTTAGCATAATTTACAATCCCTTATAAACTGTAGTACTTCTCATGTGTTAGCAAATTTAACCGAAAATAAGGGTCAGTCCTGCGGTTATCAAAACTGGCTATAACATTAAATATTAAGGAACTGATACCAGTGGACTTGCAACTCAGTGAAGAGTAAACGAAATTTAAATGTAGGCTAACAATGTTCACCCAATGATCATGAGTGATTTTGGGCAATGGTAAATACACTAGTATAACAGTCACCACGAAACAGTTTCGTGGAATTATCAAACAGGTTGTTTTCAAACGTTTCTGCATACCAGAAATCCGTAATCTATCCCCAAACCAGTCTATTAGGATGATCAGTTGGATATTTCGAAAAACAATTCAACTGACTTCCAAGCCACATGCAACAATCCAACTTGTAACTATATCAGTTATGTGAAGAAATCGCTCCAGTTTAACTGGAACGAACAAACCATTTAAATTTATATGACGAGATTCTCTCCATGATATTGACCACAACACCATAGCTTCCAACCTAATAATTTACTCCGAAATTGTAGTAGTTACGGCAACTAACTATAACCGTTCTGAGGCTTCCGGTATCTATCAGCAAAAGTGAATTTCTCGGAAGTAACAGACTTTATACTTCGCGTCCATAAAGAAGACATCTAAGCAAACAAACCCGTACAACTAAGATGGAGAAACGTCTTCATAGTTACATCCATTGAATACTAATTGAAAGACAGTTATATTCCCATTACGTCATCAGAACGAAAAAACACCGCCCCCAACAATAACAGTGAGACCCGAATACTACTACTACTAAGAATACTATTTCTAGAGTCCCTGAACAGCCAACTACGTTGGAAAAGTCGTACACCAAAACACAGTGTCTCGTTCTCCTAAACATAATCACCGAAAAAACAAATCATTCTCCAAAGTCGATCAGATCAACTAAGATATGTACGAATGCCTCTCTGAGCTATGCGTAAATACACGCACTAAGAATAAATGTTAGTAAAATTTTTAAATCCCATAAGAGACGAAAATAAATCCACTAAATCACAAATATGCCGTCACTCTATCACTCATGAAGCGTTTATCACACGAAAACACGCATATACTGAGTCCTTTTTTCCCAAACTGATATCTTGTCTATATAATAGTTTACTAGTCGATACGTCTTTATTTGTGATAAATGCAAACAAAGGGTATGAAAAATGTTCTTGCGCATCCATGTTTCACTCGAAGATTATAGACTGGTCTTTCGACGGTCAAGGTCAAATTTGCTGTATTTCTGCAGAGAATCATGGTGAATTTAATTCTCCACACTACGAGAATTTTTCTGCCCTCTTATTGCTAAGCTGAAATGTCAGTAAAATGTCTCATTGAGAAATACAGATCATGCCCCGAGAAATACTTTGATTTAAAAGGTTCCTCACAATGACATGCTGTTGAGTTTGATTATTCTGATTTAATCTTGCTAATATATTGTAAGAACTCTTATCAAAACCTAAACGACTAGCTTCACAACAGTTAGGTCCCGAAAATGCAGGAAAAATTTTATATTTTTGAAATTCCTACTAATACTACATAATTTTAGTTTCTGGTTATTTCCTTTAGGATGCTCTGACCAAACTGTTCAGCCGAACCTTGAACTTAGTCCCAGTTTCAGATGCTGAGATTTTCACGAGTACGGTTTCCGTTTCAATGTATCAACAATTTGTTTTTCGTCTATTCTCAACACTATTTACAAATAGGAGAATACTCGTAGACATTTTACTATCAAGTTTTAGTCTGATCGTGAGGAAGCTCAGGTCTATTCATTGAATTCGAGAAGACTTGTAATAACATTAGAAGTACATTGACTACAATGATTCCAACTGTACCCAGGTTGCTCAGTATGTTACGCTGATGCAAAACATGGTTCTGTGTTTAAATGTCTTCTCAGATTAATACATCGTTTACATGTCCAGGTAGACGCTTCATAGACTTGTGTCATGTTTTACGTGGATTAAACTTCGTTTTGTCAAGATACTGCGATTAAAAAAACCCATTGTCACTGGATAAAATTGATTCGGTGAAGGAAATTCTTTCGTTGATATCATTCATCCTTATTTCATGTCGTAACGCTTGGTGATGTAGACTTCGTATGCTTAAATATATGATCACCTCAGTTATTACTAACACACTGCCTTATCATCTAACTTGTCCTACTTCTCTCAGACATGTGTAAACAAACGCACTAAAAATAAATATGTCACTACAATTTTTAAATCCCATCATAGAGGAAAATAAATCTGCTAAACTACAAATATGCCGTCATTCTCTATTACTCATAAAACGCTAATTGCATCAACCCCACGTACGCTACAATCACAACATCCCACTCATCTCTGATCGAAACAATAATGTTTATGAATCAGTGCTCCAGTACTCACATTCATACACATTAGGAAAATATAAACTTCACCATAGGAAATGGAATGCACCTAAATGTGAGAGTTTATCTTCAACATAATCTAACAAACTGTTGATTTCAAACACCTATAAAGCCAGCTTCCCAGTGCTTAATTCAAATATTGATATATTCTAACTGTGTACACTGAAACATCTATGCAAGTTTATAGACTAATCTTTCAATCCCACGGGTAAAAACAATATTCACTGAAATACTGTCTGTACTATACAGTCTGTTAGCGAATTCCACTGCAACACTATACATGCGTCGTGTGATTTATAACCAATAATTGCAACAATCATCGCCACACACGCGTACAATAATCTACTGCAAGTATCTTTGTCCACATGGTTTGGGAAATGTATGCCACTACTTCGTGTTCTACATAATTAATCTTACAAACCGTCACTAAGTTTTATTTCCCCAGTACGGAAAGCTCCGGGTGCTTATACAAGCAGTAAATAGTTGAAAATCTTCAGTGTAGAGAACATTCCACACAAATGAAGACCAGTAGTTCGAATAGCAACCAACGGTATAACTAACTACGTTGTGGAACTAGAGCGTTTCATTGTTTCGTATAGCTAGGAAATTGTACTCAAAGACACTTATCGCAACACTACACATCGTCATTACAACCAAATGCTCCACACAAACTAAGAAATGATTACAACCAGAAAAATTATCTTCATCTCAATCATCACTCTCGTAATCATACACATAACTATTCGTTTTTTATTTTGTAGTGCGTCATTTGTGTAATTCCTCTCATTCCCATTTCGCGTATACCTTTATTTTCCAACTCATACAACAACACACCTATGGTGGAAATCCTATCCCATCTAAATGATCTGAGGTCGCTGACTGGTCCACGTCCTCAAAAAACATCAAAGCATGATTTTTATCTTTACTTAGACTGCAGTTTGTGAATTCAGTCAACATTTTAGATGTACCAGCAATGAATGTGTTTATACTAGTATAATTTTACTAAGTATTAACTGAGTCACTTCAGATTGTCAAATACCGTCAGTAAATTGCATAATATGAATACGTCTTACATATGTGAATTTGTACAGTTCAAAACCTTAGTATTGAATATTTTTTAATAATTTTCCCGATTGTAGTGAATTGTTTTATTTTATACTCTGGATTCACACAGTTGTATGACTATCATTTTCAGTCTCAGCACCTAAACACTTGTTTTACAGGAATACTCTTTTTTAAAAGGCTCCTCCAGCTGAGCTTTCCTCACAAAAATCAGTTATGCAGCACACATGGAATGAGAAAGCCTTCGACCAATAGGCAATAGCCGTCTCTAAAACACTCTGTTTACGACCAATCAGGAGTGACCTTTAGGCCACAAGGTCGAAACTTGCATAAAAGCCAAATAAGATCAGCCAATGAAATGTAAACGAGTTATTTGTAAAGGTACTGACCTAGATGCCGTTAATTTTATTATAAATACGCTCGTGCATTCTAGATTCGTGTACACGATTCTCTGCTCTAACCGACAATGAGTGGACGCGGTAAAGGTGGAAAGTCCCGAGCCAAGGCGAAAACCAGGTCGGCCCGTGCTGGTCTCCAGTTCCCGGTTGGTCGTGTTCATCGTCTGCTACGCAAGGGTAATTACGCTGAACGCGTCGGTGCTGGTGCTCCTGTCTACCTGGCAGCCGTTCTGGAATATCTGGCGGCTGAAGTTCTTGAGTTGGCTGGCAACGCCGCTCGTGACAACAAGAAGACACGTATCATCCCACGCCACCTTCAATTGGCCATCCGAAACGACGAAGAGTTGAACAAACTCCTCGGTGGCGTTACCATCGCTCAGGGTGGTGTCCTGCCCAACATCCAGGCAGTTCTGCTGCCCAAGAAGACCGACAAGGTGAAGCCTTAAGTGCTTCGACTGTGTGGCTTGAGAGCTAGAGAACGTGAAACCGGCCCTTTTCAGGGCCACTACAATTTGATTTAATTTGCTTCATGTTTGCCAAGGGTTGAGTTTTCTACTGGTCTTCCTGTGAGTGCGGGCAGTCGTGGACGCCTGCCTGAGGAGGCATCGA